GCCTCCCTCCTTTGGGTCCTTGGTCAAGAGGCCTGATAGTCAGCAGAACAGACAGCTGCCTACAGAAGTGATGGGGTGAAAGAAAGGGCTTAATCGCTGCCTGGGCACAACTCAAATTCAGGTCTCCTGACTCCCCACAGTGCTCTTTCCACTCCACTAGTTTTTTATGTCCTAGCAGTCATTTTTCCCTTAGTAACAATGAGTTTATCAGCTCTTCTCCTGAGAGGAAGAAGGGGAAGAAAGCATCAGCCGCTCTAGGCAGCTGCATATGCAGAAGAGAGAACACCATGGTGGGTGCAGATTGTCAGATGTGGGAACAGAGGGGCCCACAGATCAGTATCAGGGAGCACTGGAGTCTCTACCCATACCCCTCCCACCAGAGTCAGGGTCCGGAAGGCAAGGTGGTTAAGAAATGAGATTCAGGAACCAGGCTTGGGAGTTTTGAATCCCAGCTCTGCTATTTACAAGTCATATGACCCTGGGCAGGTTTCTCTGAGCTCTAGTTTCATTTGCAAACTGGGAAGAATAATAGTACTTATTCCTCGTGATTGTTGGGAGGATCGAATGAGATGATGGGTATAAAGTGCATGGCGTGGCACATTATAGTGGGCTGTTGAGGGCTCAGTAATTACAGCAGCCACTGCGATCTTCACTCTAAGGGGTGTACTCAGGGCTTCTCGTTCCCCTTCCCCACTTGGGGATTCAACCCTGTCAGACCCAGGTCTCCTGACCCCGGGGCAGCTCTTCCTTGAGTCTGCCCTCATCCCTTCATCTCCTGAAGGCCTGTCTTCAGAACCCTTCATCCACTGTCCAGGGTGGGTCTTTCAAGGACCACCACTGAAGAGGCTGGGAGAAGAGGGAGCTGTTACGACTTTTACGGGTGGCAAGCTGCAGCCAGGAAGACTGGGAGCTCAGCAAGGGGGCTGCCCTCTGTGGGCCACAGCCATCTCTTGTGTCTCTGACGCTGGGGACCACAATCTTGAACCCAGCTGGCTGGGGCATCACCAGGGGTGGCAGTTTCCTAGTCTGGGGAATTTGGGGTAGAGCTGCCGCCCCTGATGCCCTGCAGTGGGGGGATCTGAGGTGCCTCTAGTTGGCCCAGCCCCCCATTCTCTCAGCCTTGTTTGTGCAGGGTGGCAAAAGTCGTCTGGATTGCTGGCTGGGTCTGGTCCAAGCCTCCTGCCAAATTCCTTTTCCATGGAGTCACTGCGGGCTGGGATGGGGGTACGGGAACTCTCTCAGAGGCAGGGCTGTCTCACCCCCTGGCCTTTTCTGCTGGGTTCCTCTGGCCTGGGAACAGTAGCGTGGGGGAGGGTCCCAGGCTGGCTGGAGGTCAGCAGACCAGGTCCTGGCCCATGGCCTTCCCTTTGACCCTCTCACTCTCTAAGGCCTCCCAGGCCTCCCCAGGGCCCTTCAGGCTCTAACACTGGACCATTTTCTCACCCTGTGACCCCGAGAACCAGCCTTGGGATAAGACTGAAACAGAGACACGAAGAGAAAAAAAACAAGCACAGAGACTTGGGGAGGTCTGAATTACACACACGGAGGCCCTGTCTAGGAGCCTGGCACTGTGGAAGGTGCTGGCTGGAAAGCCTGGTGCTCCCTGGAGTCCTGAAGAGCCAGGGGTGAGCCAGCCCCCGCTGCTTTCCGGCTCTGTGACCTTGGGCGTTATCTCTGAGCCTTGGTTTTCTCATCACTAAAAAGTGAATCATAGGGGCTTCCCTGGTGGCTCAGTGGCAAGGAATCCGCCTGCCAGTGTGGGAGACACAGGTTTGATCCCTGATCTGGGAAGATCCCACATGCCGAGGAGCAACTGAGTCCCTGCGTTACAACTACCGATCCCATGCTCTAGATCCTGGGAGCTGCAACTGCTGAGCCCAAATGCCACAACTAGAGAGTAGCCCCCGCTCCCCACAACTAGAGAAAAGTACACGCAGCAACAAAGATTCAGTACAGCCAAAAATAAACAAATAAAATGATTTTTTAAAGTGAATGATAGTAATTGTGCTTCATAGAATCGTTTCGGGAATTAAATAAAATAGTATGTGTGAAGTCTGGGTACACAGCAAGAGCCCAACCAGTATGAGCTATGATGGCTGCAGCTGTGTCATAAGAGCCGCTGGTGGGCCCAGGGACGTTTATCCTGACCGTGCCCTGTGGGATGGGACTTGTGGCTGAGTCTCTGCAGGGCCGTAAGTTGGAGAGAGAAAGCACTTTATCTGTGTGGCAGTGGGGAGCAGAGCCATGTCAAGAGGTGGGAGTTAATATAAGGAGTGACTTTAGAGCTGAAGAATGTTAATTAGTAGAAGGTGCATCCTTAGGGTAGTGAGCGCCCTGTCAGTTGAGTGTGCAAGGCTTGGACACTCAGGGACGTGGTTTCAGGGGTGCAGGAATTGTGTGGGGAGGTGGACACGGTGACAGCCATCCCTGAGATTCTGAGGTTCTGTGACTTGGGACAGTGATCCCTGCCTGCCGATCACCCTGGAATCCCCTGCTGTGTGACCATTAGAGAGGCATATCCCCTCAGGACTATGATCTGTGGAATGAATCTCCTTTGCTAGAAGCAGCTCTGACCCCTTCCAGGGAGTCACGTGGGGTCACCAACTGCCAGGTCCATTCCAGGGAAGCATGGGCCCTCTGTCCTGTCTACTCGGGCTGAATGACAACAACCCCCCGGCATCTGTGACCTCATCATAGCCTCCAAACCCTAATGTCAGGGCTTTTACTGCCTTCTCAATTAAGGAAACTGGCTCCGAGAGGAGCAGTCACTTGCTAAGGTCACACAGCTAGCAAATAGCAGAGGCCTGGTTTCTGAGCAGAGCAGAGGAGAGGGACATCGCATGAGCTGAGCAACTCCTCCTGTGTGGCTGACCTGCCCCTACCTAAGTTACCCCTGGGAAGCAGCCTGGCTCAACCTTTAAAGCTGTCACCTTTTATCGATGGGGTGATCCAGGCAGGAGAGGAGCTCTACCACGAGCAAACAGGTATCAGGGGGCAGGCTGAGTTATAGCTGTTCTGCCCAGGTGGGCGCAGGTGTGTGTGGTGGGGAGCCAAGTGGTGATGGGAAGAAGGAAGGAGGAGGTTGGGAACAGAGAGCCTGTGGTCCCGTGAACTGGCTGTCGGCAGTCACTGTGCTCCCGGTGGGTCTCCCCTGGTGTGAGCTCCACCTGAGTCATCTCCAGACCTTGATTTATTCATCTATAAAATGGGGGTGATAGTGAAAAAGCTCCTTTGTAAGGGCCCTTCCAGCTCTGAAAGTCCATGAATTCTGAGCTTTGCTGGCAAGATGCCTAGGAAAACTGTCCCGGGAGACCCACTCAGCATGTCATGGCCAGTGCTAATGAGGGCAAGGTAGGAGGGAGGGCAGGGTCAGATTCCTCAAGAACTAATTAGCTCCCTCGGTGGGGAGGGGTGACAAAGGGAGCAATTTTCCCAGCCACCGACTGAGCTGCTAGCCCTGGCCACAGGCTGTCCCATCCATCTGTGCACAGGTCCATTTGTTCATGTGTCCATTTCTTCATTCCTTACTCAATAAACACAACGTGAACACTGACTGTGTGCCAGCTGGGCACTGGTGATAGAAAGAGGAATGGTCGCCTGTGGTGAATTTACAGATTAAGAGGGCCTGACCCCACCTGATCCCTGACCTCAGGCCCCAGACTGAACCCTGACTCCCACCGACTCTGTCCCCTGTATGTCCTAAGAGGGACCTCTGGGACAAGCAGGCAGCTTGAGCATGTGCTGTGGCCCAGAGAGAACTGGTTCTGACTCCGGCCTAGCCACCGTTTGCTGTGTGATCTTGGGTGAGTTACTTACAAGCCTCTGGACCTCATTTTCCACTTCTGTAAAATAGGGGTTCCTAGGGTTCTTGTGAAGATAAGATGAGGTAATGTGCTGTTCTAGTATAGTCACTGCTGAAATTAGCCCAATGTGTTACCTTTATAATATTAGAGTGTGAGAATTTTTAAATGATTGTTTAAATGAAAGTGGGAAGAAATTTTTCAAGGACTTATAAGAAACCATTAACCGTTGCTACCTGATTTGTGATATGGAGCACTCGGAGGTAGAGGGATTTTTTTCACCATATACCTTTTTATGTTTTTAATTTTTTTTAGTTCATGTAAATGTATCACCTATTCTAAAAAGGGGAAACGTTAGTATTAACAGATGACCATACTCCGAAAGTATAAAGGGCCCTAAGAGATGCAGGGAAGATGTCCTGCCAGTTCACTCACGCAGATAGTAATGCTTACTAAGTGATCACTTTTTGCCAGGCACTATTCTAGGGGCCAGGGTTAGGGGATGAACAAGTCAAGCAAGGTCATTTCCCCCTTAGAGCTTATGTTCTAGGCAGGGAGATAGATAAGAGCCAAGGAAACCTGTAAAGAAGATAATACTGAATTGTGTTGAAAGCTATGAAGAAAACAAAGAGATGAGTTAGGAAAGGGTAGGGCTGATCATAGAGGAAGACCTCTCCAGAGAGGTGAGCCCTGAGTGATAAGAAGGAACATGGAATGCTCCCTGGGAAAAGATCATCCCCAGTAGAGGGAACCACAAGTGCAAAGGCCCTGGGGCAGGAACAAATTTGTCATTTTCAAGAACCAGAATGTCAACCTGGGCAGAGCCCAGTGAGAGAGAAGAGAGGCATAAGATGCATCCAGGATGTAGTAGGGCCTTGACTGCTGGGGTGAGGCATTCTTGCTGAGTCTGGGAAAGTGCCGTGTCAACAACCTTCAGGGGGAATCCAAACAAGGGGTCCGTGAATACTGAAAGGGTAGTCTGGGAAAGTTTTACATGGTTGGTGGCTTTTGAGTTGGGCCATGATGGTTGGGTCAGGGATCTTTATGAGGAGAGGAGGTTCTAGGAGACGGTGAGTAAAGATCAAATCCCAGAGGAAAAGGCCATCTGTAGCTGGGGAGCACGAGTGACCATCTGTCTGTCTGTGTACGGCTGTGGCTCTGCAATCCCAAGTGCTAATTGGGCCTCTGTCCCTCCCGCAGCGCTGGGCCGGAGTACTAGCCTCACCGAGAAGGATCTAAAAGAGGCCAAGGCGAGGAGCCAGCAGATCGCAGCCCAGCTGACCACCCCTCCCAGCTCTAACTCCCGCGGAGTCCAGCTCTTCAACAGGCGTCGGCAGAGGGTGAACGAGTTCACCTTGGAGAGCCACGGCCAGAGGGGACCGAAGTCTAGCCAGGAGCCCCTCAGAGTGCCCCCCGCCAGCCCCACAGGCCATGCCCCGGGGCTCAGCCTGAGTCCCACCTCGCTCCCTGAGCCAGGCCCTCCGAGAAACCCCGCCTGCCAGAGCACTGACACCGGGGTCCCCGGTCACAGCATGGAGGGCTGCTCGGAGGAGGCCAGCCTGCTCCGGCACCTGGAGAAGATGGCCAGCGAGGAGGAGGAGGTACCACTGGTGGTTTATCTAAAGGAGAATGCAGCCCTGCTGACGGCCAATGGGCTCCACCTGTCCCAGAACAGAGAAGCCCAGCAGAGTCCCCCAACCCCACCTCCAGAGGAGGTCCACAGCCCGGCCACAGATGCCAACCAAAACCTTCCCTCGGCCGGCACCACGCTCATCACACCAGCTTCTAACGGCAACCACAACCTGCCAGCCACAGATGTCAACCAGAACCTATCGGCAGCCGTCACCCCGCAGAGCCTGCCGCTCTCCAGCGTCCAACAGAATTCTTCCGAGGCGCAGCTCCCTCCGAATGACACGGTGCCAGATTTCAAACCCAGCACCCCGTGTGCCGGCAGGCAAACCCAGGAGTCAGTCGCGGAGGTGAGATCCAGCACGCTCCTAGTTGATAAGGTATCAGCTCCACCTACCGCCACCAGCACCTTCTCTAGAGAAGTTACTCCAATCTCCAGCTCCAGGCCCCTGGGCCCAGATTTCATGTCCAGCTCCCTGCTCATTGATGTCCAGCTTGGAGCCCCAGCCGTGTCCACAGAGCAAGAGATGTCCGGGCGGACAGCCGCCACCACGCCCACCAAACTGTACAGCGAGGTCCACCTCACGCTGGCCAAGCCTCCATCCGTGGTCAACAGGACGGCCAGGCCCTTTGGGATCCAGGCGCCGGGCAGCACCGGTCAGATGGAGCGAAGCCCCATGGTAGAGAGACGACATCGTGGGGAGAAGGTCCCTGCCCCCCAGCTCTCCAGTGTGGCAGACAGGAGCCCCCGGCCACAGAGACACGTAATGTCCCACAGCCCCATGCTGGAGAGGAGGCCCGTGGCACAGCGAAGCCCCGCCTTGGAGAGACGCCCCGTGGGAAACTTCACCCCACCGCCCACCTATGCCGAGACCTTGTCCACAGCCCCCCTGACTTCCCGGGTTAGGTCTCCCCCATCTTATTCTGCCCTGTACCCCAGCTCCGACCCCAAGCCTTCTCATCTAAAGGGCCAGGCTGTCCCTGCCAGCAAGACAGGCATTTTGGAGGAGTCGATGGCCCGTAGGGGCAGCCGGAAATCCATGTTCACCTTCGTGGAGAAGCCCAAGGTGACCCCGAATCCAGACCTGCTGGACCTGGTACAGACGGCTGATGAGAAGCGCAGGCAGAGGGACCAGGGGGAGGCAGGCCTGGAGGAGGAGCCCTTCGCCCTTGGGGCCGAGGCCTCCAACTTCCAGCAGGAGCCCGCACCCCGGGACAGGGCCAGCCCCGCTGACGCCGAGGAGACCGTCCCTGAGTGGGCCTCCTGCCTCAAGTCACCGCGCATCCAGGCCAAGCCAAAGCCCAAACCCAACCAGAACCTCTCAGAGGCCTCGGGGAAGGGGGCTGAGCTCTACGCCCGCCGCCAGTCCCGGATGGAGAAGTACGTCATCGAGTCTTCGGGCCACGCTGAGCTGGCCCGCTGCCCATCACCCACCATGTCCCTGCCTTCATCCTGGAAGTACTCCACCAACGCACCTGGCGGCACCTTCCGAGTGGCCTCCCGGAGCCCGGCCCGGACCCCACCTGCCTCGCTCTTCCACGGCTACCTGCCTGAGAACGGGGTCCTGCGTCCAGAGCCCACCAAGCAGCCGCCCTACCAAATGCGGCCCTCGCTCTTCGTCCTCTCACCCATTAAAGAACCTGTCAAGGCCTCGCCCAGAGCCGCCTCGCCGGCCAAGCCCAGCTCCCTGGACCTGGTGCCCAGCCTGCCCAAGGCGGCTCTCCCACCGTCACCTGCCCTGCCTCGGCCCTCCCGATCCTACACCGCTGCTGGCCAGGACGGCCTCCAGCCCACCACCGTGAGCCCCACCTACAGCAGTGATATCTCGCCCGCGTCACCCTCCAGGGCGTGGTCTCCCCGAGCCAAGCAAGCCCCCAGGCCCTCCTTCTCCACCCGGAATGCGGGGATCGAGGCTCAGGTGTGGAAGCCATCCTTCTGCTTCAAGTAACGGACCCCACAGGGATCCCACTGCCTGTCTGATCCCCTGTCCGGGGACCGGATGGAGAGCAGGAAGTGGCACGGGGCTGAGTGAGGAGTACGGGGACTCAGGGCTGACACTGCCACCAGCTAGGTTTGTGCCGTATGGGCAAGTCACCTCCCCTCTCTGAGCTATCGCTGCCCCTTCCCTCCTGCGAGGTGGCTGGACTCCACGTCTGAGAGATCTGAAGTCAGCTACCAGTGGGGAGAAGGGTCATGGAGAGAGGACCACTTGGCCGGCCCTAGTGAGACTGGGGGCTTCTTCACCTGGCCTTTGTGAGCTGTAGGGCTGCCAGCGTCTTGCTGAGGAAAGGCCTAGAAGGGCCCTAACGGGGGCTTCTGCAGCACACAGAACCTGCCCTTGTGGTGGAACCGGCCAGCCCAGGGCCTGCCGCCCCAGTGGGCTGCCCTTGCCATGGCCCCGGCTCCGGCCTCTTTCTGCCTGTTGCTGGATTCTCACCTGCTTGGGTCTGTCTCTTCCACCTCTGCCTTCCGGACACTGTTTCCTCTCCACTGCTTCAGAGACCTCTGCCTCGGCCTCCACACTATCTCCTCTCCCGGGTTCTGCTGGATGAGGACTCAGCCCACCACGGCTGGCTGACGCTTTTCTTCCTGCCCCTCTGCTCAGCTGCCTTCACGCCCTCTCCGAACATCTGGCTCTGCTTTCTAGACAGCTTATGCAGTTCATCCCAGACCTCAGTCCTGGTTCCACCTGGCTTGCCCTCACTGTTCTGGGGTGTGGGAGGTCCCCAGGGATCCCCGAGAGAAAGCCCAGGGGACGGCTCTGCAGAGGTGGGTGTGTAGCAGGGAGAGAGGTCTCTAGAAATAGATCCATTGGCTGTTTTGGTTTCACCCTCAGTCCAGATCTGCATGGCTGAAAGAAACCATCCACGTGACGCAGAAAGGGGCCCCAAGGAGAGAGTCATCTCAGCCTCCCGTTTGCTGTGTGACTTTGGTCAAGTCACTTTCCCTTCCTGGGCCTCAGCTTTCTCATAAATACAATGAGGGCCCTCCTAGCTGTGACCATCTGTGAGGAATGAGAGGACAGGACAGGCTGGTACTTTGGGAGAAAGGTCCTGTAAGTGACAAGAGAGTCCCCTGGGAAGAGAGGGGAAGGGAATTAGGACAAAGGTGTCCTAGGACAGATGGGAAGTACATGTCTGTAAGGGCGTCCGAGGAGGGTGTGGCTGGGGAGGCCAGGAAATCAGAAGTTTAGGCTCAGGTTCAGGATTGCCTGGAGACAGACCGTGGGAACACAGCAAGGACTGGAGCAGGAGCACGGCAGCCCAGGGAGGGGACAGAGGAGATCTTGAGGTCTGGAGGAAAAGGCTGGGACTTAGATCTGGATTCTAAAATATGGCCTCCATGTGTATCTTTGGGTCTCGGTTTCCCACTTCATACTGTGAGGGTTTTGAGTCAGGTAGCCTGAGACCCTTCCCATCTTTGACACCTCTGATGTGCTGCGGCCCCCCAAAACCACGTTTCATGAGGGCGAGAGAATATAGACGCAAGAGGCAGGATTCAGATGGAAACCTCCCAAAACCGGGGGCTGAGCACCACCCACTATCTCTTTCCTAGCCCTATTTCTGGGCTCCCCAGCGGAGCAAGGGGTGGTGGAGGCGGTGCCCGTGCTGGGCTGAGCCTGCAGTTTTCGTGAGCTCTCGGCTCGTCTCCATGGGAACAGGGGGTGCCTTCCCAGTGAGTTCATTCTGCCCGGAACGTGGGGGCATGCGTGGGGAAGTCAGGAGTGAGCTCAGCTCCTTCATGCCAAGCCACTCCCAGGACAGAGTGAAGCCCGTGTTCCGGACCCCTGCTCCCTTCAACACCCGAGGGCCAGCAATGGAAGAGCCCACCCTCCGTCCTGCAGTTCCTTCGGCCAGGCTGTCTGAGCTCTGCCCTCAACTTTGTTTTCTCTCCTGTTCTCAATACACTCTGCCTCAAATCTGTCTTGCTTCTTCTTTTCTTCCACACTCACTAGCTGGTCGTCTGGGCCCTCTCCCTCCTCCCCGACTCTGGCCTGGGAACTGTGGTGAGAGTCCGCATGCTGCCTGCATCTGCTGAGTGTCTGGATCTGCTGTGGGTACAGATGTGTGCTGGCTTGGAAGTAAGGGCTGCCTTCTCTCTTCCCCCAGTCAGCTCTCAGGGAACCAGAAACCCTTGGAAGACACATTCTGTTTTCTCCTTCCTTTGGAGTTTGGCCAAAAAGTCTGTAGATGGGAAAAACCCACGCCCCTTATGGTTCGGATTTATTTGAATTCTTTATAAGTGCCTTTAGCCAGAGCATGTACACTTTTTTCCCCCTTAGTTTCTCCCAGCATCCCACTCTCCCATTATCTAAATCTGGGAGCTTCCCAGTCATCACTGCATATAATAAGTTTCTGCCCCTCATGGAGCCGAACAAACTGCCATCGGGAGCCAGAAAAAATGGGTTCCAGCCTCAGATCTACACCTGACTCCTTGTGTGACCTTAGACAACCCCTAGGCCCCACTCTCCCCTACCACACAAGGAGAGGATTACAGAAGCTGTGGGCTAGCTTGCTGTCTTTGGTCTCTGATATTCCTCTTTGCTCCACTCATGCCCACCTCACACACATGCCCTACTTTGGGACTGGTGCTGGGTTAAGTGGGTGCTCCTTTCTGAATTTTCACCCATGTGCATTTCCAGGAAGCTCTGGGGTACATGATGAATTGAGATCTTTTTCAGAAAGTGAGTAATTCTGATTCCCTGCAGCATTTTTGTATTATACACTCCCCCCAACCAGGGTGCACATGCCCACAGACACACACACACACACACAGTCAGTACCCAGACAGGGCAGTTCTGATGAGGTCAGGCCTTGGCCCAATGCCTAAAGATGAGGAGCTGCTCACCACTGCCCCCAACATTCCAACCCACACATTCTGAGAAGTAAGTTCTGTTACTCCTTCCACTTGCTGGCCCTAGCCTTTCCCTTGAAGCCACCAAAGGCAAAGGCAGTCCTTAGAGGTGTCAGACAGTTATCACAGCTCCTCCTGCCGCAGCCTGCTCTTCTGGCTGAAAGCCCTGGTTCCTCTGCTTTAGTGCTTGTTGATGGACTTGGATCATGAACTCTTGGCCCCACTTCCCACAGCCTGGCTGATTGAAAGATTCCTGAGATGGCTCACAGACAGCAGCTCGCACTGTCTCTGGCTCATATACACACAACTGTGACCCTGGAGTAAAAGGGGTGGAGCCCATGCTGAGCTTTAACTTTCCTACTTGATGATTGGATCCTTGGATGTCCCCAGGAGGTCCCTAACATTACCAATCCCATGAAAACTCTTTAGACTGTGATACATTCCTCTTTAGGTTAAAAGTCTCCATTTCTGAGTCTGGGCCAATCTAGTAGCTGCTGCATTGTTTGGAGAAGACAAATAATTTATCGCTTCCTTTTGATGGAGAGAAATGAGATTCTGACTGGATGAGAGGTTGACTGGTTAGGCTGTGAAAGTTCACTGATTGGATGAGAGAATGGAGCTTATGAGTGGTTCTAGATTTTGATTGGTTAGAAGACACTGAACAGACCAGCTAGTTCTGGACTCAGAGATGACTGCTGGTTAATTTGGAATGGATTGCAGATCGATTGGACTGGCTTGATTGGCTAAACAGATAGATGGTTTAGTATAGTAGTCCTCAACCTTTTTGATACCAAGGACTGGTTTTGTGGATGACAATTTTTCCACCAGGTGGGAAAGGGTGGGGATGGGATATGGCTTTGAGATGATTCAAGGACAGTAGGGTTCATGCTCTTATGAGAATCTAATGCTTCTGCTGATCTGACAGGAGGCAGATCTCAGGGGGTAACACAAGCAATGGGGGGAGGGGGGTGACTGTAAATACAGATGAGGCTGGCTTGCTGGCCACTCATCTCCTGCTGTGTGGCCTAGTTCCTAACAGGCCACAGACCAGTACCAGTCCATGACTTGGGGCTTGGCGACCCCTGATTTAGCAGATACATGCTGGACATGGGTCCCCAAGATCTGTATTCTCAAACCAGTTCAAACTTAAATACTTAAGCCCACCTGCAGCCTTTGAGCAGCAGTCAGTCACACACACATTTCCTGGTGGGGCAGAATACACCAGAAAGCTATTTACACCTCTGAACTTCATTTTCATCACTGTAAAATGGCTTGTGATAATACCGGCTACCTCACCAGATGGTTGTGAGGATCTGATGAGGGAGGAAGGATGAGAACAAACTTTGTAGACTGGAAAGTCCCCAAGGAGGTAGGAAGCAGGTATGATTGTGCAGAGCAGAGCAGTGCTTTATAACCTCAAAGAGGGTCACCAACTTGGCCTCACCAAATCCACTCTCCCCTACCCCATGCTGGCAAAAGATCCAGTGAAGGGAGCAAAGACCCAACTTTCTTTTATGTTTTACTTGTTAGTAGGAACTTACATGATCAAGGATCCAAGGAGAAACTAGCAGGTGACCATGGCAATACAACAGGGGGACTGGGACTGAGAAGGCCTTTCCCTAAGTCCAGTCCTAGAAATAATGATCAATATTTTTGGTTTTAATTTTTTAAATAGATAGCATATCCATACGGTTCAAAACCTTAAACCTATATAAAAAGTAATACATTAAAAGTCTTATTCCCACCCCTGTGGCTGTGTACCCTGCCCAGTTCACCCTATTTCCCAACAGAGACCCACTCTGGTTCATTTCATGTATATCCTTTCAGTATGTCTTTATGGTAACTAACATCTGTTGCACACTTAACCTCTTCTAGCAAATCTTATCATACTGTGATATTCTTTTACATTAGTAATCTCACTTACTTCTCACAACAACCCTCTAGGGTACAGGCTGACATTATACTCCCATTTCACAGAGGAGGAAACTGAAGCCCAGGGGCCTTCAGTTGCTTCTGTTGCTGAAGCAATTTGACCAAGTTCATTCATTAAACAAAGGGGTCTATCTCCTAAGAGAGCGATCTTAAACCACCCGGCTCTCTGTGATGCACAGGGGCAAGCAGCGTGGGCTCTTTCAAGCATCTGAAAAATGAAAATTTGGGCACCTGCATTTTACTGCAGTCACTCCTAACTTCAATCCAAAACCCCGGTAAAGAGGAGCCCAGCACTAACACCTGCCCCCAACCTCTCTGCTCTCTCCCCAGGACCGCCGGGAGAGCTTGCCCACCTCCCCGCCATGGACGCCCGGCGCATCCCGGCCCCCCAGCAGTCTGGATGGCTGGGTGAGCCCGGGACCCTGGGAGCCGGGCCGTGGGAGCAGCATGAGCAGCCCTCCGCCGCTGCCACCGCCGCCGCCCATGTCCCCCTCGTGGAGCGAGCGCTCCGTATCCCCGCTGCGATCTGAGACGGAGGCACGGCCCCCCAGCCGCCAGCTGCAGGCACTTCTGGCTAGAAACATCATCAACGCGGCCCGGCGCAAGAGCGCCTCCCCGCGGCCAGCGGGCGCCGAGAGCCTTCGGCCCTTCTCCCCACCGAGGGCGATGCCGCCGCCGCCGCCACCGCCACCGCCGCCGCGCATGCGCTCGCCACAGCCTGCCCGTCCCGGTCCTGCCGCGGCCACCGGGGCCACGTTTGCTCCGATCCCCAGGAGCCCGCTGCCCGCACCGCCTAGGCCCTTCCCCTACCGCCGCTCGCCCACGGACTCCGATGTGTCCCTCGACTCCGAGGACTCCGGGGCTAAATCACCCGGCATCCTCGGCTACAACATCTGTCCCCGCGGGTGGAACGGCAGCCTGAGGCTCAAGCGTGGCAGCCTCCCCACCGAGGCCTCCTGCACCACCTAATAAGCCTTCCCCGCCCGCACCCCATCCCTGCCCTGGGAGGGCCGCGCGGGAAAAAGTGTCATCGGGCTTGGGAGCTCCCAGCACCATGTCCCCAAGGGGTCTGGCTACTTTGACAGCCCCAGAGATCAGGAGTCTGCGGGAGAGAGCTCTGGGTTTGGGGGTGGGGTGATAATCCAATTTGGGTTCTAGCCCTTGCTCTATGGAAAGACCTTTCCAATGCTCCTCAGCTTTCCCATCTGTTTAATAGAGCTTTGGCCAAGGCAATCTCAAACCTCTAAATTCCCCCTTTTATTAATACACACAGGCAGGGCGTTGTATGTATGGCCCCCTAAACTCGCTGCACTGCAGGATTCCATACTCCTCTCCGACCTTCCTGGCTCTGATCTCTGGAGTCTGACAAATGAGGGGGTGTGTTCCGAGGATCCTATGCCTGAGTTGCCTGTCCAAGTCCTGGCTTGACCATCCACCTCCCTGGCACCAAGTCTCAGGGAGCAGCTGTTTTCCATCTCTTCCCAGACAGGCTCTATTTTTACCATGATGACCTTTAGAGAGGGTCTCCCAGGCCAGCTCAAGGTGTCCGGCTGGCCTCTCTGGAGAGAAGAAGCAGGAAAATTCCTCCTCTCAGACCCCTCTCATGTTTGCTCCATCCCAGTTCAGACTGCCTGGGACATCTGTAGCCAGAGAAGAGAGTTGTAAGGTGATATTTCCCCCAGGCCCAGGACTTGGGCCTCCAGGAATGCTATAGGTGTCTGCAACTCATCTGTCCCTTCTGGGCCCTTTCATGGCAGACTCTGGGCTCAGAACTGAGCTGGGGAGAAAACAGTTTGACCTGGAGCAATCTGTTATCCTCTGGCTTTACTTGATAGCCCTGAGTTTGAGGTTGCCAACTTGGAAGGAGGGAGGCAAAGAGCTGTTCTGGGCAGTATGCAAGCCATGGCAAGGATGCAGAGAGGAGATTCTAGTAGGGAATGAATTGGTTCAGACGACCTCTGAGGGCTCTTCCTGTCCTGAAATGCGTTCCATAGTATTAGGAAGGAAGGGAGAGTAAGTAGTACTGGAGGACTGGCTGGGCAGATGAGTCTGGGTGGGTGAGTGAGGGCTTAGACCAGAGTCTGCCTGTGTTTCTAGTTCCTTAGGAATTACCCCCACTCTTCAGTTTCAGGCTCAGCATCTGTATTGTGCCCGGATGAGTAGGCACTGTTCTGCCTCATCTCTTTCCTATCACACTCTGGGCTAGCCAGTGTCTAGTGCCCAGTAACAGTGGGCAGCCTGGCTGCAGGCCCTGGTCTGTCCCTTAAGCTGTAGTGACTCTGATTGGGAACCCCAGAAGGGACACAGGGAGGAATGTGCCTCTGTCCTATAGTTTCCAGAGCTGGCTCGTGGTGCCCTCTAGAGGTTTAAAATATCAGTTTCAAGATCCTAAGGGTGGGGGTGGGGGTGGGGGCTGGAACTGGCTGAGGATCAGAGGTATGTATGTAAGTGAAAGGATACCAGGATGTTGCTAAAGGTGAGGGACAGAGCGTGACTTGGGGGGTTAGGGGTAGACTTACCCCACCCCTCAGGTTGATATTAGACCTGGAACCCCTTAGTGAGGCTAGGGCAATCTGGGGTCAGGATGGGAGAGAGAATCAGGGGGAGATGCTTTGTAATAAAGGACTGATCCCAGAGGATTCCTCAGGCCTAAAGATTGGGAACATAGACTCTGGTGGTAGGAAGTTGAGAGGGTGCTCTAGCTTGTCAGTGATGAGTGATCATATTACTGAAGTCCCCACCTGCTTCAGGGACCCTTGTAGCATAGGAGGCTGGGGCTAAGGGCCTCTTTCAGAGAAAAGACACTATCAGGTTACAGTTAATGCAGTGGCACAGAAAAATCCACTTGTACCTGCATTTCCCACAAAGAGCCAGCAGGAGGCAGCCTTGGGAAGCTGCAGTTCTGTCTGGCTGTTCTCTCCCTGTCACTGCCTTTTCCCCTAGTCCTCTTCTCTAACCCACTAGAAATTGCCTGTGTCCTGCCTTTTGCCTCCTGTAGAATTCAGCTGTGGCCCTCAATAAATGCTTCTTGCATTCTTCTGTCCCTTGTGTCATTTTCAGTTATGTCTAAAGCTCTTCTATTTCCCCCAGCCGTGGAGCAGTCCGTGGGATGTGGGGTGGATGAGAATGTTTGTCACACAAGGGATGGGCGCTTGGAAAGCAGCAACCCTGAGAGAGATGGGGAACAAAGATAACACCCTGGGCACAGAAGAAGTCCCTGGGTTGAAGTTCTGGTCCTATCACCTACTAGCTGGGTGACCCTGGGTAAACCCACTCCTTCTCCAGGCCCTAGCATCCCTATTTGTATAATGAATGAGTGGGGCGAAGGGATGTCTCAAGGTGGTATCGCCTGGGCCCTGACCACAGGACACTGTCACTGCAGTGGTCAGGGCCAGCATTCTAGGGCTGCTCCCTGATGACGGGCATCAGGCAGGAGGAGGAGCCCCTACAAGAAGTGACATCAGAAAAAAAAAAAAAAAAGAAGTGACATCAGAGTCCAGGCCACCCTAGAGACTCAGGACCCCCACCATTAGCAGTGCTCCTCTTCTGATAGGGCGTCCTTTGCCCAGAGAAGGGGATCATGGCTCTTCTCACAGGTGAGGCCAAGCCTGCCCTCGGGACCTCCCTCACCTCCCTCTAACAGGGACAGAGCAAAGGACTCTGAGGGTCAGGAAGCTGTGCTCAGGTGATCCACAGCAGAGTCCAGGCTTCTTGAGAGAGATGCCCTTGGACAACCTATCTGGCACACAGGTGCAGGAGATCACTTCCCTGGACCCAGCACATCCCCACCTGTCCCACCTTTCCCTGGCAGTGGTTAACGCACCTCTGACACAATCTTTATCTTCAGCAGAAGATAAACCTCTCCTGAGCACACTGTCCCCATGCCTACTGGTGATCCTGGTGCCCAGACACCTCAAACCAATTTCATTCCAAACTGAACTAAGTATCTGCCCCCCACCACCATTGTTTTCCTTGAATGACTCAAGCCAGAAGTGGGAGTGGCTCTTTCCTCATCTCCTGCAGCCAGTCTCTCACCACGACCTGGTAATTTCCCATACCCCTCAAGCCCCTCTCCTCCTCTCCATGCCCTTTGTCACCGCCCCGGTCTAGCCACCCGCTGGCTCTCACTTGACCACAGTGAAATCCTCCTGCCTCCAGTCTTGCTCCCGCCAACCCACTTTCCATAGGGCAGCCAGAGATATCTTTGGAAAATGCCATCCAACTGATCCATTCCACTGCTTTAAACTCCAACAGCCCTTTATAAAACTTTGCTTTTAAAAAGCCTGCTGTGATCCAGCCCCTGCCCACCTGTCTGGCCTCATCTCTCAGCACCACCCCAGCCCCCAGTCCTAGCTGGCCCCTAATATCCTTATATGTGACGCAGCCTCGGCCTGCAATTACCCGTGCCCCTCTCTGCCCCGTGAACTCCCACTCATGCCTCGAGGCCCAGCTCAAATGTCTCCTCCTCTGGGAGGCCTTCCCCACCCCCAGGCTGAGCGGGTGGCACCCTCCCCTGGGGCCCTCCCGAAGCATTTCCCATGATGCGCTGCAGAGGCTGTTTACGGGGCTGACACGGGCCTGGCTGAGCTCCTTGAGGACAGAGCCCTGCCTTATTTATTTTCAGTCCATAGAGAGAAGCTCAGAGAATGTGAGAAGGTAGAGGAAGAGAGAGAAGGGAAGAAGGAAGCAGAAGGAAGAAAGGAAAGAAGGAAAGGAAAGAACAAGTCAAGCAAAGACATTGGGGGATAAATCATTCATTCACCTACCCACCCATTCCATCACTCGTTCAACAAATATCTACCAAGTTCCTACCAGGCCCCACTCTAGGCACTAAGGATATCGTTAGGAAGCTCAGGGGACCGGTGACTCACTCTCTGCATTTCCAGGTGACTTTGGTGTGTGCATGTGTATGTGTGTTGTACATGTGCATGCAAGGCCTTCTGTGTGTGAGGGCTTGCTGCCGGGGCACCTGTCTTCTCTGGGGCCTGGTGCTTTTAGCATCTGTCCCTGGATCCTATTGCAGCCCGAAATAAGGCTGTGAGCCACGACAAGGCAGGGGCGACTCTCGTCAGCTGAGGCCAGAGCTGGCTGCAGGGCACACCCAGCTCGCCGACCGCCTGCACGGACACTGACCACTCGGCTCTCAGCTTCCCGACAGAGGTGTTAATCTGAGGGTCTGACACCCCCTCCTGCCCACTGTGGCTCCATCTCTCAGGTACCAGGATCCAAGGGAAGCTTGAGGGCTGTGGGTAGTGGGAGGTGGAGAGGAGTAAGGACCCCACAGTAGAGCAAGGGCCCTGCAGAAGGGCTGGGAGTGTGGGGCCTCATGGAAGCCTGGATCCTGAATTGGGAAGGGAGGGATCCTAAGCTCTGGGTTAAATGGGGAGGGGTGGCTAGGATTCCAGCTGGAGGGTAGGTTTTGACTGCTCAGACTTCAAGGTCTTTCAGCAACAGAGGGAACAGGGACCTTGTCTGTAAAATGAGGGGTCCTTCCTGATGTCTGTGAATTTCTGTAAGGAGAGTGTTTGTCAAGAAACAATCTAGAAACTTGGAATCCTAAGTGATCATGGAGCATGCTTCACCAGTTCATGGGCCCCACCCCAAATGCATGTACTTGTGCTCATGTTTGCTTGCAGTTTTAGGTGGCACAGAGAGACGCCGAGCTGGAGAGCCACTTGCTCACACTTACCGAGGGAGTCAGGGGGACAGATTAGAATCCAAGTTGGAAACTCAGCACCCAATGACCTGGGGCCGGGTATGGGAGGGGAGATAATGGATGGAGGCAGGTTGCTTTTCTAAAAGAAGGAATATAGAAAAACCTGGCAGCAAAGCAGAGGGGCACAGAAGTTGGTACGGCTGTCAGGAGACTCAAGGGCTCTGCCTTCTCTCCTGAGGGCAAGGTAGGGACTCTGGACTTGGGGCCTGCAAGGCTTCTCTGGGGCTTTGGACCTCATTTTATTTTAAATCACCTCCAAGATTCCTGGGACAAGCCATAGATGCAAATGGGGGACTGGTGGAGGAGGAAGAGAAGCAGAGCACCACGGAAGTGAGCCGAAGGGTGGGGCTACGAAGGGGCTGATGGCCCTCCCAGCTTCCTTGCACCGGCCTGTGCCCCCAAGCTTCAGAGCCGAATACGGGGGACATGCGGGGCACACCTTGCAGACCCCAGTGCAGCCCCAGCCTAACCAGCCATACTCCTCTCCCCCAGACTTCAACCTTCAACCTCTTTAAGCCCCTGAGTAGAGCTCACCCGAGTCAGTGGACAACAACAGTCAGACACCCCCACCTCCCCTTCTAACATCCTAGAAAAAACCCTCGATGAACCTGTGCTTCCTTAGCAACCTGGAAGCAGATCTGCATGACCTTGAGCATCTCCCTTGCCCTCTATGGATCCCAGCCTCCTGTTTCCCACCTGGACAGCCCTTGCTTGAGACTTGGGTGAGATACAGCTGTGTGGGGCTAAGGCTGGGTGGACCAAGGACTGGGAGGAACAGAGGCAGCTGGGCCCATCTGTAGGGGTGTCTCCTCCACAGGATGATCCCCAAGGAGCAGAAGGGACCAGCGATGACTACCACGGGGGACCTCACTGAACCAGGTAAGGCTGACCCAGCCCCTGTGCATTCCTCAGATCCCATCCTTTCTTGGTCCCAGGCTATAGCCACTCAGCATGCTGGCCCCAGGCCTGGGCAAACAGGTGTGAGTTCCAGGCCAGCCTGTGGAATCTGCCGCCTGGGCTGGGAAGTTTCCCGAAGCATTGGGAGGGGCCTGGCCGTGATTTCGGGGCACACGAGAGCTGAGGTCCAGTGCCAGAGACTGGGCCCTGGCCCCACCGGAGTCATTCCTCAGCCCCAGATTGAGCTCTGAGGGTCCCAGATCGAACCCTACCAATGGCCCAAGCCTCCCACATAATTGCCCGTGTTTTAACTCGGGGTCTCACTGGGCAGCCACAGCACAAGACAAGGGGTCAGGGGAGAGTGGGGCAGGGGGGCAAGAGCAGGCTGCCCAACCTGAGTCAGACTATTTCACTTAAAAGCTGACTCAGCCAATGGATAAATCACCTAAAATACATATTTATCAACTTTATAAGACCTCTTACAGAACTCTTGGCATAATTTTGGAGCCTTTATTTGGCCTACTTTAGAGCATTTCATATATTTTAAAAACAATTCAGCTAAGTCAGAACTCTCACACTTTACTGTGAATCATAGTGACGTGGCGCTGTTGCTTAAAAGTACAGATTACTGAGGGAGTCAGGGGGCCCATCAGAATCCAGGTTGCACAGCTCAGCGCCCACGGACCTGGAGCCGGGTATGGGGAGTACAGATGGAAGCAGGTTGTTTATCTAAAAGAAGGAATATAGAAAAACCTGGCGGCAAAGCAGAGGGGCACGGAAGTGGGTAAGGCTGTCAGGAGGCTCATCCCAACATCCCTACCCAGGAGCTCTGATCCAGGGGACCTAGGGAGGAGGCCAAGCATTAGCCGCTGAGACAAGTACCCGGATGGTTGCCGTGCAGGAGAGCAGTGAACCAAGCCCTGATAAATCCCTGCCTAAGGGCTTCACTGCAGTTTTGCCTCCTTCAGAGTTCTAAGTGTTCCATCATGTGTATAACTTCATCTGTGAGGCATACTTTTAATTTGTCTTGTGTGTTCCTGTCTCCTTTTGTTGGTTTCATTTTTTTTTCATTCCGTGATTTTCATGCTGAAATATGTAAGCTTTGTGAGAGATTGAGGCTCTAAATAGAAGAACCAGGCAATGCACTTTCTTTTCTCTTGTCTAATTAGTTACACACCCCCCAGTGTTGACGCACATCATTTATGCCAGACTGGAAATACATTCTTTTTTTTGTTGATTATGGCTAGAGTATTAATTAAGGACAACTTTGAAACTAAAGAAAAGTAGAAAGGGAAAAAAAGTGCATGAGCTCATCACCAAAAGATAGCCATTGTAAAATAATAATAATACATCATTCTTGTGTGCTTACTATGTCTCAGATACAGTGCTGAGAGCATTTGTACTTTTTGTTATATATATAACTCTCACAACAGCTCTGTAAATTAGATATGATTATACATATTTTTTAGAAGAGAAAACAGAGACTCAGGAAAGCCAGGAAATCACATCCCCAGTAGGTGCAGAGCTGAGATTTGACCCCAGATCTCTCTGTCTCCAAAACTGCTCCTTTACCACATGGTTACATAAATAAAACATTCATTTTATAAAATATTCAGACAAAACAGATATGAATGACTTTGAAAGCGAAAGTTCCTCATAATGAAACCATCTGGAGATAACCATTGTTAACAGATTTGTGTAAATCCTTCTTCTGTTCATATATAAACATATTTATATAAGCGCATATACACGTGGGCTGAATACTATACACTGTGTTCATCATCTTTTTTTTCACTTTGCAGCACACCACATCTTAAATTTTTTTTCACTTAGCAGCATACCACAGACTTCTTCCCATCTTAGTGTAATTTATCTCACCCCCCCCTCCCCTCACTCCCCCAGCATATAAGATATTATATATATTTATACACCCTCCCCCAACACGGAGACCATGAAGGCTTGACTAAGGTTAGGGGTAGAGCCTGAGGATTCCTTAATAAGTGACTTGTTGAGATTGCACGCCTAGAAGGGAAATGACAAAAGCAGCACTGGGCAGAAGAAAGTAAGGAAGTGGGTTCCAGAGCGTAAGTTAATTGCCCTATAGAAATCATCTCAGCTTTAGCAGGGGGCTGTTGCAGCCTCTACTCACCAGGGCAGTTCTCTGCAGAGGTGGCCGTAGTGAGCTGTTAGTCACTGATAAAGGGTGTCCAGGCAGCATCCATAAGACTGATTCCCCGTTTTCATAATCTGACACCTCACTGCAGCAAACATCCTTGTACGTATATCCTTGGGCGTATTTATTCAACTTTTCTCCCCAAGGATGAATGCCTAGAATTAGAATTGCTTAGTCAAAATAGGTTTCATCTATAGCTTTTTTTTTTTGTCTTTAAATATTGAGCTCAGTTCATCTGAACAGCACTTGAGAATATATGCCAGGGGACTTTTATTACATATTTAGGTATAAATGGTCTTTCATCTGTTTAAGACAGAGTGCATTGTCTCGTTTGAAAAAAAACAAAAACAGTGCAAACAATTTCCAGCCCTCTTCTTTTGTATATCCCATAAATAGTCACTGCTCATATTTGGCATGTCTCCTTGCAGATTCAATACACGCATAAGCATATACTTATTTTTTTAAACATATGAGTGGGATCTTAGAATACAATTCTTCAGAAATTTACTCCCCCCCCCCTTAATCTATAGTGGATTTCTTTCTGATTCTAACATGTAGAAGTTTCTTTCTCTACATTTGCTGAAAGAATGAAAAAACCATCAGCCTCCTTTTTTAAAAGGTCATTTAGGATTCCGCTGAATGGGATGAAGCACCGCACTTGCACGGCCTCAGTGCTGACTTGTGACCACGTCCGTCTCCCTGACCCATTCATTCTACTGTTCTCTGGTACCATTTCAGCAGCCACTCTTCTCAAACCTAAAGTACTTCCTCCCCCACATCCATTCTCAGCTAGTAACCTTGCTTCTTATTTCACTGAGAAAAGGAGCCAAGAGAGGCTTCTGCGAGCTCCCGCCTCCACATCTGTCCATTTGTTTGCATCCGTGTCCCTGTTCTTGGTTTTCCTTCCTCGTGTGCTGGATGAACTCTCCTTGCACCTGTCTGAAGCCACCGCTTCTAGCTGGGCGCTGGACACCCTCCCTGCCCTCTCCCCTGCTCTAGGACATTCCTTCAGTAATTCTCCTCTTTAAAAACAAGCAAGCAAACAAACAAATCCCTCTTGTTTCCATAGCTGCCTCCAGCCGTGGTTCTTCAGAGCACAGCTCCTCAAAGCTGCTGTCTTTACTTCCCTCCTCTCTCTCTTTTTAACATTTTATTTAACCAACTTACACACACACACCCCAAAGTAGAGAGGGCAAGCCCCCAAGGTCCCCCTTTTATTCCTGGAGTCCAGAATAAATCCCAAGAAACATGTCATTCCACCCCCCAAACACTTCACAATGCATCAAAAAGTAATAAAAAGCACATTTCCTTACATGTAAAGGTATTAACACACTGAACAAAATGAACAATACTGATTTAATACTATCTAATAATCAGTCCTGTAGTCAACTTTCTCCAGTTTTCTAGTTTGTTTACGGTATCTAAATAAGAGCCACTTTGGATTCTAACATTATCTAGTTTCATGTGTACAACATTATATTTCTACTTCTGTACACATTAGAGCATGAAAAGCGAAAGTGTTAGTCCCGACCAACTATTTAAGACCCTATGAGCTGTAGCCCACCAGGCTCCTCTGTCCACAGAATTCTCCAGGCAAGAATACTGAAGTGGGTAGCCATTCCCTTCTCCAAGGGATCGCCCCAACCCAGGAATCAAACTCTGGTCTCCTGTATTGCAGGCAGATTCTTTACCATCTAAGCCACCAGGGAAGCCCATACACTATAGCATGCTCACCACCAAAAGTATGGTTTCTACCTTTCACCACAGTTGACCCCTTTACTCATTTCACCCTCCCTCTTGGCCCCCATTCCCTTCTAGTAACCACTACTCTGTTCTCTGTATATGCATGTTTGTTGATATTTGGTTTGATCATTCATGTTGGCTTTTGTTTATATGTTTGTTTTTATATTCTGCATATGAGTGAAATCATATGGCATTTGTCTTTATCTGACTTATTTCACTTAGCACAGTACCTTCAAGGGCCCTTGTTTTTATTTGGTAGCTATGTCTCTTAAATCTCCTTTAATCTAAATCACTGTCACCCCCTCCTTTTTTTCCCATGTCATTGACTCCTTTGAAGAAACTGGGCCAGATGCTCTGTACAAGTCCCACATCCTAGATTTGGCTTGTTGCTTCCCTGTGGTATGGTTAAACTGTTCCTCAGTCCCTTTTCTCTTGAACCTTTTCCAATAAGGCTTTCACACCCAAGTACACCACAGGGGCTGCTTTTGTGGAGATTACCAATAATAGCCCCATGTTACTAAATATAATGGTCAATTTTCAGTCCTCCTCTGACTCGACTTGTCAGCAACATTTGACTCTGTTGATCAGTTCATTGTCCCTGAAACCTTTTCATCCTTGGGTTCTAGGACACCACAGTCTTTAGATTTCCTCCTACTTCTCCCCAGGCTCAGGCTGTTTCTCATCTCCTCGATCTAAATGTTGGAGGCTCTGGGGCTCAGTCTGTAGATCTCTTATGCATCCTCATATCCTTGGTGATCTCAACCAGCCTCCAGGCTCAGAATGTCATTTAGAGGCCTGGAACATGAACCTATATGGATCTGATTTTAGAGATGACAAACAACTCTGCCTGTGCTGTCCCCACATATCCCTCTCCTACCAGTGTCCTCATCAATTTTGACACTCCTCTCTTCCAAAAGTCTCCCTTTGTTGGGCCAGCATGAAATGTGCATTTTGCTGGTGGGGAAAGCACAAAGGATATGGATAGGCCCCCAAACTACTGACAGTCATCAGCCCCAAAGTCCTTCTACATGGCTGTAATGACTGGTCCTAACTATGAGAAAAGAAATCAACAGAACACTCTTCACTAAAAAACAATGATAGCAAATACCATTTGTATACTCCCAATGTCCCAGTTTTTATATCCAAGTCAGTTTTCTCCCCAAGCACTAGACTCATATATCCAGCTCCCTCATCAGCATCTCCACTGGGATGCCTACAAGGCTCTTCAAATCTTATTCTCAGTTTTGGAAACCATTAGGGGAGTCTGAATATGGGTTAGGCATTACATTGATATAAAACAAAAATTCATTCTCTTGAAAAGGTAGAGAGCTTTGAATAAAAGCAATTTACAAAGCAGCTATGCTATGATTTTATTTTAGTTAGAAAGTCATATGAATATATGGTCAATTAAGAAGACAGGGGGACTTCCCTTGTGGCTCAGTTGGTAAAGAATCCGCCCGCAATGCAGGAGACCTCGGTTCGATCCCTGGGTTGGGAAGATCCCCTGGAGAAGAGAAAGGCTCCCCACTCCAGTATTCTGGCCTGGAGAATTCCATGGACTATTTAGTCCATGGGGTCACAAAGAGTCAGACATGACTGAGTGACTTTCACTTCACTTTATGAAGACAGGAAAGGATATACACTAACGGGTTAGGAATGGTAATCTCTGGATGGTAGAAAATGGTGTTCTTCTTTCCTTTTTCTCTTATGTCTATATTTTCTAACTCTCTTCAATGTACATATATGGTGTTTTGGTGGCGCTAATGGTAAAGAACCCACCTGCCAGTGCAGGAGATGTAAGAGATGCAGGTTCGATCCCTGCGTTGGGAAGATCTCCTGGAGGAGGGCATGGCAACCCACTCTAGTATTCTTGCCTGGAGAATCCCATGGACAGAGGAACCTAGCAGTCTACAGTCCATACAGTTGCAAAGAGTTGGATACTACCAAGCAACTTAGCATGCACACACAGCACATGATGACAAAGGCTATTTTAACATGAAAAGAGACATGTCTAGACCTGAATGCTTGGTCTTCCCCACACCTCCTCCTCCTCCAGCCTTCCCATCTCAGAGAGCGGCTGCTCCATCCTCCCAGCAGCTCAGGCCAGAAACATTGCTGTCACCTCCAGTCCTCTCTCTCTCTCTCTCTCTCTCTCTCTCATCCAACCTCTCAGTGCCTTCCTTCAGAAGATATCTGAAATCTGATCATTTCTCATCACCTCCACCACTATGGGCACAGAGCTGCACAGGAGATTCAGGGACTAAATACGCCTGGCCAAAGAATATCTGAAATGATGCTTGATTTCAGCATCAAACACAGGCAAATCACACTCAGAGGAGTCATCTCAGCCCACTGGCTGGGCAAAGAATCCACAGAATGACACCCAGTGTCAGCAAGCCCAGGGGGAAGCTGGCATCCTTGTACATAATGGACGGTGCTGTGAAGAGATCCCCTTAGAGTCAGCAGCCGGAGTATCCTGCAGGTTTGGCAGTGAGAGCTCTCTCTGCCCTCTCCCGCAGTTCCTCTGCTGGACCTGGGCAAGAAACTGAGCGTGCCCCAGGACTTGATGATGGAGGAGCTGTCGCTGCGAAACAACAGGGGGTCCCTCCTCTTCCAGAAGAGACAGCGCCGCGTGCAGAAATTCACCTTTGAGTTTGCAGCCAGCCCGCGTGCTGTGAGTAAGCTCCGACTGTGCTCACAGGGAAACTGAGGGCCAGTCATCAGCCAAACTACGAGCCAAGTGAGAATGTCTGGCCCCTACAGGAGCCCCTCGAGTCCAACCAGGGGATGACTATGGCGTTGCCATCAGACTGACGCCTGCCCTGCTCTGTGATCTTAGAACAGAGTCAGCTCTTCAGGCATCTCTCCCCAGACATGAAACATAAAGTGGGTTGGACAGGGTGAGCCGTGGAATGAAGGGACTCTGGCTCCTATGAAAAGTGCCGAAGGACAGTCAGGTACTCTGGGCTGAATGTGCAGCAAGCAGGATTTAGATTAGACTTGAGCTTGATCTAAGATGGAGAATACAGAACACCTCTCTCTTCTTCCCACTGGAAGAAGGTAAAGTCATCTAAAGAATGGGGCTTCCCTGGTGGCTCACTGGTAAAGAGCCCACCTGCCAATGTAGGTGACGGTTCGATCTCTGGGTCAGGAAGATCCCTTGGAGAGGGAAATGGCAACCCAGTCCAGTATTCTTGCCTGGGAAATCACATGGACAGAGGAACCTGGCGGGCTACAGTCCATGGCTCACAAGAGAGTCAAGACATGACTTAGTGACTAAACAGCAGCAGAGCAAGGAAACAAGAATGACCTGCCCTTGGACTTCAGAGAGGCGGCAGGCAATCTCAAGTACTTCTAATGAACTCAGGGCCTGCCATCCGGTTCCACTCAATTTCTGGATGAAACAGGAGATGACGAGAGGGCACCACGTGACAGAATAATAAAAATGACAAAACATCTACCTTTGCTATGTGCCTATGACAGCGCTAGCTAAGCAGTTTGCATGTGTCATCTCATTTAATGATCAGAGAGTGATAGTGTTATCATCATGCCCACTTTACAGAGAAGGAAACTGAGGCTCAGGGAGGTTAACACAAGTCCAGGGTCAGTACACCAGCAGCTGCTAACATATATAAAGCACTTCTCTGTTCCAGGGTCTAGCACTCTACATTATGAACTCATCCCCCCAACATCCTTGGGAGGTGGGCTCTAGGATTATGCCCCTCCCCACTCCCTGCCTTTTTTAGTGGAGGCAGAACCCTGGTGAGCCTACCTGTGGTTTACTTGCCACCCTCCCCCCAATCCTACAGGTAGTGGCAGGAAGTGCAAAGGAGAAGGGGACTGGAACAGCAGAACCTGGGATGGTGAGTGTGGACAGAGACCTCCCCAAGGAGGGGAAGCCCAGGGGAAGGGACCAGGCAACTCAGATTCTCTTGAGCTTCACTCCTGTGCCCAGGTTGCCAACAGCCATGAGGGGCAGAACTACCGCTCTGAGCTCCACATCTATCCGGCCTCGCATGGGGGCCCCGGGGATGCTGAGTCCATGGCCTCCCGGCCGGTGAGCACCTACAACCCCAGCGCCCTGGCACCAGGTAAGTGGCCTCCCCATGTCCCAGGACCAGGGCTGGAGGACCAGAACATGGGTGTATTCCCTGATGGGGCAGAAAGAGCACGCAGAGAGTATCTAGTCCATCTCCTTACACACACACACCCCTCTCTGCAGATACAACACAAGCCCAGAGAGATGCAGCCATGTCAGGTCACAGAGCGTGCCAGAGATGAGCCAAGACTAGAGTCTCTGCCCCAACCTGCAATTCCCCTGCTCCATCCTCCCCATTTCCAGGGATGGGGAAAGGTCCTCTTTGCTGGAGAGACTTTGGCATCACATTCCACGCCCTCCCTTGACTTCCCTTTCCTAGTCCTTCCTTCCCATCCCCAAACAGTGTCCCTGGGATGGGTGTGAGGGCCAAAGGAGAAGGGAACCCAGGCAGCCCGCTCACCTGCCTGCCACGTGCCATACTCCACCCCTAGGTTATGCTGAGCCACTGAAGGGCATCCCACCCGAGAAGTTCAACCACACAGCCATCCCCAAGGGCTACCGCTGCCCGTGGCAGGAGTTCATCAGCTACCGGGACTACCTGGGCGAGAGCAGAAGTCACACCCCAAGTCTGGCGGAGTATCGAAATTTCAACAAGTAAGACAAGGCGGGGCTGCTCAGGGAGAGACCTGGAAGGAGGATGCACTGGAGCCAGTCACAACCACAGCAGCAGCTGCATTTCCTGAGCACTTTCTACATGCCAGGCTCTACCCCAACGCCTTGTATACAAGCAGACCTCATGGTTCCTGCTAAAACACAATGGAACGCTTGTGCCTTAGCACATAGTAGGTGCTCAGTAAATGCACAGGGAATGAATGTCTGTGTGTGGCACACATCTTGTTGAATCCTGCTTCACAACAGGGTGGGGCAGATGCTACAATTTTTCCCATTCTGCTGCAGAAGAGGATTATTAACAATCTGCCCAAAATCACACGGCAAGAAGGCAATGGCAGGGCTGGGATCCACATCTGGGTTTGTTGGACTCCAGAGTCCAGTTTCTTGTTCTTCATCACTGCTGTGTGCCACCTCCTTGATGGATGTGGAAGTGTGAGTCCTTCCCCGGGTGGGGGCCCCAGATCTCACCAGTCCTAGGCCAGTTCAGCCTTTCCCTTTCATCAATGGCCTGGAAGAGGCCTAGAAAGTGACCTTGAGGCTGTCCCACTGTGGGAAGTGGCAGTGAAATGTTGGACACCAGAGGTGAGAACATTAGATAAGTGGCTCATAGTGTTTAGAGCGTGGGGCTTCATCAAGGGCTTAATGCAATCTCTACCCCTGGCTGTGTGACCTTGGGCGAATGGCTTAACCTCGCTGGGTCTCCAATTCCCACTTGTAAAAGGAGACTTTTATAGTATCAATACCTACTTCATAAAATGGTTGTGAGGGTTGCATGGGAGGCCACAGGCAAAGTTTCTGGCAAGTGAGAAGCTCTCAAAAAATGGTAGCTTCTATTATTACTATTTACAGGTTATTATTATTTTCAGGGGAGAACTTGAAAGGGATAAATTTAATGTTGCACTCTAGGGGCTTGAAAACAAATCACAGCAGGCAGGACAGGAGCCTGGCAGTGGAGGAAGGCATGGGGCTAGAGGATGCATTTCAACTGCAATTGGCTTCCTTAGTCTGCTGCTATTTATGAGAAATTCTCTGCTGGCTTGGGCTGCATTAAGCGAGAAACTGGAGGGTCCACAGAGAGGAGGCCACAGCCCAGCTCTTCTGGCACCTGCTCAGTCCACATGTGGAGACTATCTGCCTGGCTTGGCCGGGAGACCAGGCCCCCTAAGGAAGGGTTGAAGGAGCCAGGGGTGATGGGCCTTGAGAAGAGAGTGCTCTGGAGGGATGTGACTGCCCTCAAACAGCTGAGAGCATGGGAGGACCATGATGGGAAGAACAGGGTCCAACAGGCATCGTGTGAACCACAAGCCATTGGCAGAGGATTGGGGGTTTCCTGCCAGGAAGGACTGAGCTGCCTCTTCTCCTGGGGCCCTCCAGCCCTGCCTGTCTAGCTATTTAAAACCCTCAGCAGACATCAGTGGTAGCAAGGCAGCTTCTGGGTTGGCCAGGGCAGGCCGTGGCCCCACCGATCTCATGCTATGATGGGCTGAGGCATGTTCCCGCCAAAAGAAGGGGGGCTCTTAAGGAGCCTCAAGGCCAGACCCTTCCTGGCACAGAAGAGGCAACGGAGGTAGAGAGAGAAGGAACAGCAGTGTTGGCAGTCAAGCTGCGCTCAGCATCCATGGCCCGACCATGAGGTCTGCTCAACTTGGAAGCGGCCTGGCCTGCTCCTGTGGGGCCCAGCTGTTGCCACCACAGCTGGGGGTGGTCCAGGCAGAAACTCTATCCTGGCTGGAACCTGGGTCCTGGCTCAGGAATGGTCCCAAGCTGCAGGGAAAACACTACATGAGTAATGCTCTTTGTCCTCTTAAAAGTAAAAATAGTTTGAAAATCATGTATTTGTATTATCTTAAAAACAAAACAAAACCCAACTGAAGGCAACTACAAATAAAAGTAGGGCCCCTTTGTTCCCATCCTCCAATCCCAGGTCTCTTCCCAAAAGTGACACTGTTGTCAGGTTGGTGCCTGTTCTCAGAGCATTCTCTACAAGCAGCTACATACCTGCGGGGATGTAGCATTGTTTGGTTTACATGTGTATGTGTCTTTTTTGATATTTTGAATCTCATCCTATACCTTGCTTTTTTCACTCAACATTATATAAGCTTTTGAAATCTCTTAGTATCTACAGCTCTGTTCATTCCTTTAAAGCTGTTATATAGTACTCTGCCATGAATATATCGATCTTATCCATTGCTCTGCCAATGGGCATATGGCGTGTCTCTGGTTTGTCACTAATCACTACTCGTATCTGCTTCCTTGTGCACATGTGCATGCACTTCCTAAGCCATATGCTTACAGGTAGAGTTGCTGGCTGACAGAATTTGCACATTCTCAGGTTTAAAGGATCCTGCCAAATTCCCCTGCAAGGTAGCAGCACCAGTTTACCGTCCAGCCAGCAGTATATGAGTAAGAATCTTTCCACGATTCACTAACTTTGGCCCATTACCAAATCACTTATTCTTGCCAGTATTATGGGTGAGAAATAGCATGTCTTGGTTGTAATCTGTATTCTCTGATTCTGAATGTTCTTTCTAACTCTCCTTTCTCTCTCCAGTTTGTGATATAATTTTGTAAGGGGAGATGTCGAGAGGAAGGAAAAACCAGATTCCAATTCTTCTCCCTTCTGGACTTTATTTAAGAGGAGCCGAGAGTTTTGCCAGGACAGGCCAATTCTCACTCTGAAAACGTCATTCTTGTTAATATTTCTAAACGATGAGCCATCCTGACTAGGGGCAGATTTGGGACTGGGCAGAGCTGGAGAAACCTGTTAAAGGTAGTACAAAATCTTTGCTGAGTAGCAGAGAAACTGAGGCCCAGAGAGGTGAGGAGGGGGCCACACGTGGTGACCCCCATGTCTGTTCTGCCACCCCACCCCCACACAGCCCACCTCCCCTGCTGCTCTTCTCTCCCCAGGACCCCGGTGCCCTTTGGAGGACCCCTGGTGGGGGAAACCTTTCCGAGGGCAAGCACCCCCTTCGTCCCGGAGCTCACCAGTGGCTTGGAACTCCTTCGCCTTAGACCCAGCTTCAACAGAGTGGCCCAGGGCTGGGTCCGCAATCTCCCAGAGTCCGAGGAGCTGTAGCCCCAGCGCCTTCACATCCCTCATCTCAGAGTTCGAATAACACCTGGAGCCAAGATTTGCGGCCAGTACTTCACAGTTTACGAAGGGCCATCACACACGAAACCTTACTGCAAATGGCCTCAAAAGTCACAAAGTTCAGCAGCTCCCTATGTGGCATACTTCAAAATCACCTGGGGGTATTTTCCTACAGGTTTCTGACCTGCCCAAACTTGCAGCATCAGAATCCCCTGAGCAGAGGATCTCTATTAGTAACTCACTCTGAGCTGATTCTAAGAAAACTTGTCCCTGGCTTGTGTCTTTAGGAATCCAAACCTCCAATGACCACGTCCAGCCTCCACTCTCTCCTGCTCCCGCACTCTAGCTTAGTCGCCCCCAGTGACAGGGAGCCCGCTAGCTGCCTGTTTACCTGTGAAGCACTCTGACAATTAGTTTTCCCTTTTACTGAGACACAGACGGTCTTTATCTACTCACGCTGCTAACGTTTACTAAGCACCAACTGTGTGTTAGCTGCTGTGCCAGCCATAGGGAGAGGGTGTGGGGAATAAGCCCAGGCCCCAGCCTAGACAGAGGAAGGAAGACAGTAGGGAAGACAGATCTGTAAAGCAGTAAATCACCTTAATGCTCCCTAAAGCATGCTGACAACTGAGGAACCATGTGAAGCAGGGCGGGGGGGTCTCTAACCCTGGGTGTGGGGTGGGGACTCTGGGAGGTGTCCCAGAGGATTTGAGTAGGGCCTTGGAGGACTGAAGGGAGGGGGTGTGACAGAGAGGTTGTGGAGATGAAGGCATTTCTGGCAAGTGGGTGATGACTGCAAGGGTGCGGAATTGTCACGGGTGCCGGCGTGAAGAAGGGGGACGGCAGTGTCAGAGGAGGCGGTGAGTCCTCAGTGGGGCGGAGTGGAGTGGGGTGGGCTGCATTAAGGAGATGGGGAAGTTCTTAAGCTGGGGAGTGAGGGGTCTCACTGGTTGCTGTGTGGGGCACAGACTGGAGAGGAACAAGGCCGGATGCTGGGAATCCTTCAAGGACCGAGGCCTGGACTAGGGAGGCAGCCATGGGGTCAAAGGAAGGAGCACCCCTCGACGCCCTCCAGGGCAAGTGTTAAGTGGGGTGCTTACAAGGACGACTCCTTTCCACCCACTTCACTCACCATTTGGAGCAGACCCCGGGCTAGGTCTCGTTCTAGTCCCAGCCAGGCGTACTTAGGCCTCTACGCAGGCTCCTTGGAAAGAGAAGGGAAGGGAACGGCTCCCTGCAGGTGCTGGTGATGACGGCGCTGATGGTGGCTGCTTTTTATTGGGTGCCTCGGTGCCTGCACTGGTAGCAGGTGTTCTACGTGGCCCATTTCTCATTTTCAGCACAACCTTGAGACAAGGACGTGGTCCCGCTTTACAGATGTGGCTATCCAGGCCTAAGCAGGGGAAGTGACTCATCTGGGGACAAAGCCAAAGGGGGGATCTGTCCAAGTCCAGTGAATATTTCTTATCACTCCGCTGGGTGGCCAAGTCAGTGCCCGTTCAGTCTGGAATCACCTAATCATGGTGTCATGCTTTTAGACTTTAGAGCTTAAGAGTGCAGGCTGGGGGTCAGACTGGATGGGGTGGGTTCTAGTGCCACCGCTAGCCGTGTGAACTCAAGCAAGTCATTTCTCACCTGTGGGCCTCTGTTTCTCCACTTGTAAAATGAGGACAAGAGTACAAGTCCCTGCATGAGGTTTTGTGAGCATAGTGATGGGCACACAGGTAATAAGCAATCAGTCAGATTTTAGGCAATTACTGCTCTCGGCCAGATAAGATGTTCCTGCAGTGAATGCACCTTGAGAAGTAGGCTCATGGAAATGCCACTGGGGGTCAGTAAGGCTGAAACCTGAAGGAGAGCCTCTGATGACCATAGGGCTCCCTTTAGACATGACTTATTCCTTCCCCGCTGCTTCTCTCTGCCTCCTCCCTGCCTCCCTCTCCTGGGGAGAGGAGAAGGCCACGAGTCTAGCTGGTTCCCAGGTGTGAACCCTGGAAATCTAGCTGGTTTCCAGAAATAGAAAGAAAATGGCTGCATCTTCCTTTTGCTCCAGAGGAGTTTCGCTGTGCCCCACCCAGTCTTAAGGGGCCAACAGCTGATGTAGATTTACTTGCAATTGATGTGCGGTCTTGAATGTGGGGGCTGCCATTTAAAGCTGTGTTTCTATGAACTGGAAGCCAACCATTAAAGTGTCTGAAACATGGAAGAGAGGATATGGACTGTCTTGGGTTGGCTCTGCTGTGCTCTGAGGGTAATGTTAGCCAGAGGGTATGGAAGAGAAGCTTGCTGCACCCCAGAGTAAATCCTCATTCCTTTTTTCTGAGGTGACTCTTACTGATGTTGTTAAAAAAAAAAAAAAAGGAATGTTTATTGTAAAAGTAAATAAATAAATGAGGTAGTAAAATGTGAAGGTATCGGTCCATAGAGCTCCTCCCATACACATACGGAACCCTTCCCCACTTCCTGCATTCTGCCCCATTCCCATATATACACCAGAGGTAACCACTGCTAATTGTTTGGTTCCCCTAGAATTCTAGACATAATTGAATGAATATGTACATGTATATAAATGCATAAGTACAAAGACATGTCTTCTTTTTAATGGGATCACACAGTATTTGTTGTTCTATATTTTGCTTCTTTATTCAACAAGTAAAATTTGGATCCTGAAAAAGCAAGCCATTAACTTTTCATGTAATTTGGGAGCCTAGTATGCCCTTCCTATAAATTCTGTACTTTTGCCTGCTTTTGTTCTTTACATGAATGAAATCATACAGTGATATGGAAATGAAAGGGGCTGAGGATAACCCAAACATTGGGACAACTGACAGCAGACATGGCAGCAGTGAACATGGATGAACTACAGTTACACACAACATGGAGGCATCTTAGAAACAAAATTGTGAGCAAAGGAAGGCAGGTATACAAAACACATTTACTGATGCAAGGAGGTGTTTATTATGAAATCAGGACTTTGGAGGAAAGAAAGGTTTGTGATTGTGAAGGGACATAATGCCCCTTCTGGGGAAAGCTGGACAATTTCTATTTCCAGATATATGTGATTGTTACACAGATATCCACTTAAAATATTTAATTTAGTTGTGCATCTGTTGTTTATGCACTTTTTTGGCACATGAGTTACATTTTACCAAAACAATCCCTCCTTTTAAAAAAAACTTAGTGGACATGGGAATTCCCTGGCGATCCAGCGTTAGGACTCAGCGCTGTCACTGCTGAGGGCCCAGGTTCCCTCCCTGGTCAGGGGACTAAGACCCCACAACTGTGCAGTGTGGCCAAAATGAATGAATGATAAAATAAAATAAATTAAAAAGTTAATGGGCAGGTTGATTGTCCAGCATTATTAACAAGAGTTCCAGGAGTTTTAAATGACTTGGGGTTCTCTGGATTTGATCAGAGACATAAACTCACACAATCTCCATGGCTGATTCATGTCAGTGTATGGCAAAAACCACTACAATACTGTAAAGTAATTAGCCTCCAACTAATAAAAATAAAGGGGGAAAAACCAACTCACACACTCTTCATCCTGTCATGAGAAGGATAAACTAAAGCCACACTTAGGGACCATGGCAATGAGCACTCACAGAACCCAAAGTCACCAGGATACTTTGGAGGCTCCAGACAAGAAAGGTCACCTGACAGCAATAATGGAAAAGCATCTTCAGGAAGTGAGTGCAGAGACTTCCCTGCTGGTTCGGTGGTTAGGACTCTGTGCTTCCACTGAGTGGGGTGAGGGTTCGATCCCTGGTGGGGGAACTAAGATCCTGCAAGCTGTGCACCACAGCACAAAAGAAAAAGGTTGACTTTCAGACAAATAAATAGGAAGAGGGTTTTCATTAATCTCCGAGATAACTATAAAAGAACATTTTTTGGGCAAGATCCATAGAGAAAGCATAGAATCTAAGAAGCAATGATGAGCAGAGAAATCAATTCAATAGACATCAGGAAGAGTTTAAAAAAAACCAAAGGCACATAGAGTGGTATAAATACATTTAAATATAAAGGCACATGGATAAGACTCACCAGTTTAAAGGCAGAAACTCACAAATTCGATAAAAAGTAATTCTAGCTCTATGCTGTTCACAAAGCAGCACTCCTGAAAATATGACACAAAAGTAAAATAAATGGAAAAGGATAAGCCAGTTAAATATTATTCAAAAGAAATGTGCTCTAGCCATATTAACACCAGACAAAGGGGATTTCTGGCAAAAAAAAAAAAAAAAAAGGATTACTGTGATAAATACCCTTATATAATACGCTAAACCCATAATCACAGTGGAAGGTTTAACACATTTCTTTCAATCGTTGACTGCTTAGCAGACAAATAATTGATATGGATATAAAAATTTTGAACAATAAAATGAAAGTGTAGAATTCTGCCTCATCAAATTAGACAATACTCATTATTTTCATCTATGAAACACTTTAAAAAGTGAATACACAAAATTAAAACTTTTGTGCATCAAAAAACAGTCAAGAGAGTGAAGACAACCCATAGGAGATTATAACTGAAAGAATAAAGTAAATATTCGTGAATTCAGTGATATAATTAAATGACTGAATAAACAAATACATGAGGGGAAAGGACAGATCTTCCTTCCCTAAAAAGACTTACAAATAATACATATAAACAATGCACGTAGGTACCACCTCTTCCAGGAGGTGGAACTTATTTCCCCTCCTACTCATTACAGACTGGACTTACTGACTTGCTTCCAAAGGGCATAGGAAGGAAAAATAGTAACTTCACAAAGACACCACTTTAACCAAGTGATCAAGGTTAACATCATCAGCAATATTCAACTTCCTGATGTAAACGGATGAGAAGGGCACCCCCACCTTGTGATACTTCCCCCAAATTCATAAGCCCAGTCTAAACAAATACAAACTGAGAGACATTCTATAAAATACCTGACCAGTTAGTCCTATTTAAATCTATCAAGATCATGAAAAACAAGGAAAGACTGAGAAATTGCCACTGCATTCTCTATTCGGGAGAATGCATCTTTCCACCCAGTTGACTAAACCAGACACTTGACAGGTTAGTGGTGAGGGAGGAAGGGTCACCCGAGACTCCTCTGATTTCACCTCCATTTACTTCAGGTCCCCATGTACCTTTGGTTTGGCTTTCCAACAGTCACTCTTTGCCCCATGGGCCATCACTGCCTTTGTCCAGCTGTCATGAGGCTATACCTTCTGAGCCTTCTCCAAGAGGGGAGGAGCTCAAAATACTACAGGCAGTGAGAATGGTTAGGAGGTAAGGCATTATGACAACTAGATAGAGGTTAAGTAGTGTGCGAGCTGGGAGTGCTGAAGTGAGGATTTGAACTCGGGTAATCTGGCTCCAGAATCTGTTTAAATCACCATTACTCTCACCCAAGTACTAACCAGGTCTTATCCTGCTTAGCTTCCAAGATCAGATGAGATCTGATGTGTTCAGGTGACATGGCTGTAGCAAGATGGCAGGATACAAGATTAACATACAGAAATCAGTTGCATTTCTTTATACTAACAATGAAATAGCAGAAAGGGAATATAAAAAGAATACCTTTTAAAATCGTGCCAAATAAAATACTTAGGAATAAATCTGACCAAGGAAGCGAAAGAGTTATATGCTGAGGACTTGCTTTTGACTTGGAAGAAGACTCTTAAGAGTCCGGTGGTCTGCAAGGAGATCAAACCAGTCAATCCTAAGGAAATTAACCCTGAATGTTCATTGGAAGGACTGATGCCAAAGCTCCAATACTTTGACCACCTGATGCGAAGAGCCAACTCAGTGGAAAAGACCCTAAAGCTGGGAAAGATTGAAGGCAAAAGGAAAAGGGGGCTGCAGAGGATGAGATGGTTAGATAGGATCACTGACTCACAGGACATGAATTTGGGCAAATTCTGTGAGATAGTGAAGGACAGGGGAGCCTTGCATGCTGCAGTCTGTGGTCACAAACAGTGGGACACGACTTAGTGACTGAACAACAGCAGCAAATAAAATGTTAATAAAAGACATTTAAAAAGATTCAAATAAATGGAAAGATATCCCATGCTCTTGGATTAGAAGAATATTGTGGAAATGGCCATACTACCCAAAACAATCTACAGTAATGTGATCTGTATCAAATCACCCATGACATTTTTCACAGAACTAGAACAAATAATCCTAAAATTTATATGGAAACATAAAAGACTCAGAATTGTCTAGGCAATCCTGAGGGAAAAGAACAAAGCAGGAGGTATAACCCGCCCAGAATTCAGACAATATTACAAAACTAATCAAAACTGTGGTATTGGTACAAAAACAGACACACAGATCAACAGGACAAAATAGAGAACCCAGAAATAAACCATATACCTATGAACAATTAACCTTCAACAAAGGAGGCAAGATATAAAGTGGGAAAAAGGTCAACAAGTGGTGCTGGGAAAATTGGACAGTTGAATGTAAATCGATGAAGTTAGAATACATTCTCACACAATGCACAAAAATAAACTCAAAATGGCTTGGTAACTTAAATATAAGAAGACACCATAAAACATCTAGAAGAGATCATTGGCAAAACATTCTGACATAAATCATACTAATGTCAGTCTCCCAAGGTAATAGAAATAAGCAAATGGGACCAAATCGAACTTATAAATCGAACTTAAAAGATTTCTCATAGCAAAGGAAACTATAAAAACAAACAAAATGAAAAGACAACCTACAGAATGGGAGAAAATATTTGCAAATGATGGGGCTGATAAGGGCTCAATTTCCAAAACAATGTTGAGCCCATACAACTCAACAACATAAACAAATCCAATTGAAAAATGGGTAGAAGACCTAGACATTTCTCCAAAGAGGACATACAGATGGCCAATAGGCACATAAAGATGCTCAATATCACTAATTATTAGAGAAATGCAAATCAAAACTACTATGGGGTACCACCTCACATTAGTCAGAATGGCCACCATTAAAAAGTCTGCAAATAATAAATGCTGGGGAGGGTGTAGAGAAAAGGGAACTCTCTTATACTGTCAGTGGGCATGTTAGTGGTGCAGCCACTATTGAAAACAGTATGGAGGTTCCTCAGAAAACAAGAATTACCATATGATCCAGCAATCCCACTCCTGGGCATATATCTGAACAAAATTGTAATTCAAAAATACACATGCATCCCAATGTTCATAGCAGCCAAGACATCTATCAACATTTAGGATAAATGGATAAAGATGTGGTACATACATACAATGGACTACTGCTGCTGCTGCTGCTGCTGCTAAGTCGTTTCAGTCGTGTCCGACTCTGTGCGACCCCATAAACGGCAGCCCACCAGGCTCCCCGCTCCCTGGGATTCTCCAGGCAAGAATACTGGAATGGGTTGCCATTTCCTTCTCCAATGCATGAAAGTGAAAAGTGAAAGTGAAGTCACTCAGTCGTGTCCGACTCTTAGCGACCCCATGGACTGCAGCCCACCAGGCTCCTCCATCCATGGGATTTTCCAGGCAAGAGCACTGGAGTGGGGTAGTATACATGTGTGTAACTGAGTCACTTTGCTGTACATTAGAAATTAACACACTGTAAATCAACTATACTTCAATTTTTAAAAAAGTAAAAATCTCCATTACTCAGTGTAAATAAAAAAGGAGTTTCTTCTTTATTTTTCTGTCAGCAGATCTGACATCTTTTATGAGAGTAACACTAGCTGCTGTTACAGATAGATCCTCAGGACTCAATGGCTTACTGTAACAAAAATTCCTCTTATCATAATGCTCTCCTTTTAGCAGCGATAGAGGAACCCAGCCTCCTTCCATTTTGTGACTGCCATCTTCCAGAGATCATTCAGCCAGCAGATGGGAAAGAGTTCATAGCTCTGAGTGGGTGAGTTGTTTCTACAGCCGAGGTCTGGGAATGGCAAAGTTTACTTTTCACCAAGTGAACCCCTGGCTATGTGTCCTAGAGGAAAAAGAAATGGAGTTTGGTAAGCACCTCTGAGTTTTTGCCAAAATCTAATTGCTCATAATTCTGATTTACTTAAGGCTAATCAAGTACTTACTTTATACTTTGTTTGCTTATACTTTTTAAAAAACACCTATCCACAGCCAGCTAGTAAACAAACATTTAGAATATTCTCAAAAAGGCAGAATACACAACTGGATAGTCAAGATTACATATGTATATATACATACACAGATATAGCTGAATTCGGAGATAAAAAACACTGCTTCACATTACCAGACTGGCTAAAAATCTCTCACATGCTCAAAAGTAACCCTCCCTCCACCATCACAAAAAACCCTACCCGAAGGGTGTCAGAATATTTGGAAGTATCCCTACATTGTTTCACATCTGATACTAGTATAATTAAATTATCTAAGTGCTTCTAGATCAATTTTAAATCTTAAAAAAAAAGGCAAGATAAAGTTCTCTAGAGGAAAACAACAAAAATTCTCGAGCTAAAACAGGGTAAAAAGAGGTATATTCATTCTATAAGTAGGTACTTTTGAGATAAAAGTGACATGGGAATTAGTTCTAGAAAAATGGGCTTGTAGATCAATTTTTCCTGATTCCTTTTAAAATGACTTATATAATACTAAGATGACATTTTAAAGCTACTATGTATCCACAACCACATGGCAGGCTCTGTGTTGAGTACCTTCTGTGTATTATCTTATTTCAACCCCACAAGTAACCTTTGACATAAGTACTAAAAGGGCCTGGGTCTTTAGAATAGATAAAGATCAGAATCAAAACAGAAACATATCTAAAGCAAAAACATATCTTTATATATAACTTGTTTCTAACTCCCACTGACCTCAAGTTCAGCTACCAAGGATAAAGAAAAGAGAAATAAACCTATGACAACATTTGGAAAATTGACCCGTTTTAATTTTTCAAAACAAAAATACAATACAACATCAATTTTTTTTTTTTTTGCCATCTACAATTCAATTATTTCCAAATATTCTAAGACCAAACAGAATCCCGTGCCCAGAGCAGGGAATTAAAATGAGAGGCTGAAGTCACACAAAGGTGAATGCTGAAGACTGACATTCCAGCCATAGGCCACAAGTCTTCCATTCAAACACGCTCTTAATTCTTTTCCTTTCACAGTTTGTTAAAGTGTTTTACAGGAAGTTCTTTAAAATAATTTCATTTCAAATACCAGGTTTCTTCAACGATACACAGCTCCATGAAATATGTGTCTCCATCTGATGACAGGAATGAAAAGGAATTTTTGTCTTTTTTGGTAGCATAAAGAAGTAAACCTATCAGCCAGATTCCTTTAGTAATAAATCAGGAAAGGAGAGATAAGATCTGGGTTGTGCTGGGTGCTGTTTCTACTTGTCTTTCAAGAGTGTGACTTTAGAAGCATTAAATCACTCTTGCCACTACAATGATTAGTACTAGTAATCTTTTTTTTTTAGATGATAAAAAGGAAAACATCCAATGGACATAAAAAAGTTCAAAAATTGTTTGCTTGTTTTTCTTACTGCAGGTCATTTCCCACCCACCCCCCCACCCACCAATGGCAACCCACTCCAGTACTCTTGCCTGGAAAATTCTATGGACTGAGGAGCCTGGTAGGCTACAGTCCATGGGGTTGCAAAGAGTTGGACATGACTGAGCGACTTCCCAGGCCAGGCACCCGCCAAAAGAAGATACAAAAGGAACATACGGTTGGGATGGTAACTCCGTTGGACATTCCAATTCACCCAGTTGCTTGTTCCCCACACAGATGAGGGGAAGAGGCATTAAGTTTTATTAGTAATGTTATAGCAGTAAACAGATGTGTTAATGGCAGCTTATTTCAGGTCCATCAATCCTTTGAACACATAGAGGAAATCATGGCTGTCGTTCTCCAACTGCCCACATCTGAATACATTCCACTACCATGGAAACTACAAAGGAAGGAAAAATATATTTATTCCGGGATTCATTTACTAGGATTTTTAAGCGCCCTCTCTTCCGTACAGCCCCAGAGCGGTGATGAGTGCTAGGGGCTGCTGTGTTTCCCGGCATGTGCTCCCATCCTCTGAGGGTCCTGAGAAGGATAGTGGATTGGTCCTGGAGCCCTCATGAACGGAGGGGGTGGTCCCATGGGGTGGAACATGTGTGGCCCAAAACCTACAGATGGGAGAGAACAAATCTGTTAGGTTTGCAATTCTCTTGACAACCTTTCAAACCATGAATCTAAGGTCCACACCAGCTACACATAAATCAAACTGACATGGTGCTTCAGAGAATGCTGGTTCACAAGACTTGCTTAGGAATGTCTACCTGCGTGACTTCTTTGGTTTCAGAAATCTTTCCCCTCGGACAGCTAAAAACAACTCCATAGGTCTCAAGGTATTGTTAGTATGTCACCTGAGCCTCTGCTATCTCTCGAACATGCCAATCCTACCAGATAGGATTTAATCAGAGTTTGGGAGGTGAGGGAGAAATCAGGCTGACGGCAAGACCCTGTCATCGTTAATCTCAATGCTTTATACTAGAATGAAGGTTGTTCAGAAACCAGGACTTACTCCAGCGAGTATGGGAACTCTGCCCAGGCGAACTGGTTACTTGTGATTTACTTACACAGTTCACGCTGGCACTGACAGTGCTGTACACAGTGCTGATCCCTGAACTGTTTATTACTTGTCACGAACAAGATAAAGAGTTGGAGCCAAACTGTAACTTCATTACACAATTAAGCACACTGTTTAGTTCATCTGACAATTTTTTTGTTAACACGACTTCCTTAGGAGCTTCCCTGGTGGTTTAGTGGCTAAGACTCCACACTTCCAACGCAGGGGGCCCAGGTTCCACCCCTGGTCAGGGAACTAGATCCCACATGCCACAACTGAAGATCCCTCACACTGCAACAAAAACCTATGATTCTGCATGCGGCAACAAAGACCTGGTGCAGCCAAATAAATAAATAAAATATTAAAAAAAAAAAGACTTCCTTAATGAATTTACATTCTGGTGCAAACTCCTTATCTTGCTGCAAGCAGATGACACCCACAGCCTACACTTTAAGCAATGATGCTCCAGGGCATAAATTAGGATTTAGAACAGAGAACAAACTGATGATGTTAAGTTGCTTTACAACTTAAGTTTAAGTTTAAACTTAAGTTTGTCCAATTCTTTGTTAAGCTATGTACTGTACCCTGTCAGCCCTTCTGTCCATGGGATTTCCCAGGCAACAATACTGGAGTGGGTTGCCATTTCCTCCTCCAGAGGATCTTCCCAACCCAGGAATCCTCTTTATGTCTCTTGCATTGGCAGGTGGGTTCTTTACCACTAGTGCTACCTGGGAAGTCCCAAACTAATGACAGATCGTTGTAGTCACAGTAACTCCCATTTTGATGATACATATACTTAGATCTTTAGAAAACTGGTGACTTCCTTCTTAGCAAACCAGTAAAAAATGAAAATACCCAGAATGACATCAGTCAGGTTTACTTGCAGACTTCTATGGAGCAGACCTGAAGGCTTAGATATGTTAGACATGATAGTACAGGGTCTGAAGAGACTTCAGGAGGATTTCCCTGAGTAAAGTCTAACCCATTTCCCTACTTCCTAAGAAAGAAGTTACCTGGGGGTGGGGGCGGGGCAATACCAGGTGGGGGTGGCAGGGCAATGTTCACCACGGCCGGAGGACCACTGGGGGGTAGGTTGAAGTAGTTGGCAGAGGCTTCTTCTTCTGCGGCAGGAGGAGGAGGAAGAGCTACAGAAGAGAAAACAGCTAGTTAGAGCAGAAAACCACTGTGCCACAGTTCCCACTACCCTGAAACCCTGAGGGGTCCTGCTGGGAGAACACAGCTGCTGGGAGCCAGAGGCCGGTCTCCTTTAACATTCGAGGAAGGTCAGGCAGTATGAGTATCTGAAGTTAGCAAGCTACTGGGTAGGCAGAATCTGCACTCACCTCCTGGGAGCCCTGGAACGGGCTCGAGCTTGATTCCAGAGTCTGTGGTTCCGTCCTTCTCCTTTTCTTTCCCTCTGGCTGCCTGGGACCTGGGAGACGGACATTCATGCAGTCAGTACTTGGGTCCACCTTCTCTCACACCTGTTTCTCACGTTTCCTAGTCAAACAGAACTCCTTCACTCCTGCCTCCTCTTCAGCACTCACTTTTTCCTCATAAATGCCACAGTGCATAGTGGATAGGAGCAAAGGTTTTGAAGACAGAAAGACCTGGTTTCAAAATTTGCTAGAATCGCTTTAGGGGATGCAGGAGGCAACAACACTGGGTTGAGACCAGTGTTCAGGAAGCACTCTATGAGGTCTCCCTGGCTCCAAGCCAGAAACCTGTTCCACTTTTGAATGTTCAGGGCATTTTACCTGTCTCTCTCTTATGCAATAACCACTTTCAGGCTTAAATTAGCTGTTCTTCTTCACTAAACAATTGGCCGTTAAGGACAGAATCCAGGTCTACTTAATTCATGTATAAACTCGCAGGCCTTAGTATTATCCTTGGCCTATAATATCTGGTGACAGAACACATGAACCTTCAAACCATCAGACTGCTACACGAAAAACCTGAATAAATTTCCAAAGTAGCATCTTCCTGATAGCCACAGGAACGAGTGTCAGACATAATGAAAAATTCTTTTTAAATGTCCTGCTGATTTAAGGCTGTTCACCAAAAGCTTACTAATCCCCAGATAATGAAAAGGTTTCTTGAAAATCTCAATAATGTTTTTTTTTATTTTTGCTGTGCCACGCAGCATATGGGATCTCAGTTCCCTGACCAGGGACTGAAGCCACACCACCTGCAGTGGTAGCACAGAGTCTTAACCACTGGCCAGCCATGGAAGTCCCGATGCTATTTTAATATAGTCTCATGCTCACCTTCCCCATTTCACGTTGAGCCTGCGGCCATTGACAATCAACTTATTAAAGGACTTCTCGGCAGCCACTTCTGCAGCCTGCCTTGTGGCAAACTGGATGAAAGCACACTGCTGTCTTTGCACAACAGTGATGGTCCGGATCTCTCCAAACTGGTAGAAGTGATTCCTGAAGGGATACAGGTAAAGCAAAATGAGAGCTGACAACACAGACATTCCCAGGAGGTTGAATATAGATGATTAACTCTTTCACTGATTCACCATGAGGCAAGTGGCCTCACAGTGATCTGCCTAATTACCTGTAGGTGGTTTCCCCTATGCCTACTGTGGTCGCCCCTACTGTGGGCACTCTATACTGGGGAAGGGAAAGAAAAAAATTGAGTAAAGGCTATCAAACATTTTAGGGCTTTTCTTATGGAGGAAAGGGGGCTCCAGTAGGTTCCCTAAGGATGTTAAATCCTAGGTAAGAGGTTAGCAAAGTATTGCGCCCAGGGCTGATAAGCCAAGAATGTTTAAATAAAAAATGGTTTAACGTTGCAAAAAAGAAGAAGAGAAAGAGGAGGTGGAAGAAAGTCTGCCATCCCTGGGGAACTGTCTAGCTCACTTAGGTTTAATGTAGATAGGCTAACAAGGGTAGGTTCTACACCTGTAAGAGTTTCTTCCCCACACTCTTTGCAAGAAGTAATTTCCACCACTATCTGCCCAGATGTCTTACCCAGCCAAGCAAAATACAAGAATAACACAAAATTACCAAATACCAATCTCTTAAAAAAAAAAAAAATCAAGTTAAACCATCTATTTTTTTTTTTAAATAATTGCAAATCTCTCTTTCTCCTATGTAATTAATCATTCCTGGTTGTGCGCTATCTTTAGAAATTCTAATGGTTATTAGGTCAAATAGAATGTCATGTAATTATTATCCTAAGCAACCACAGAATAAGCACTGTTGAAGAGTATTATCTGTCATCATAAAGAACTTTATAAAAATTCCAGTCAGCATGATACTACAGGGCAACTAAAAAAAATGTACTTGGTACAGAATTATGTTTTCTCAAGTTTTTGCCAAAAACTATTATTCCAGGGCAGGCGAAAGTAAAGTTAATTCATAAATTATATTCACAAACCTTAGATCGGTCTCAGTAATGGTATCGCCCAGACCACCAACATACAGTGTGGTGATAGTCTTGTCCTCTGGTGGGTCCAGACGTGGCATTGTTGAAGCCCGCTTCAAGAGTTTATCTGCCACAGGGTCATTGATTCCATAATATCGGTCTTTAATGTTCTGATCAGCAAGGGGGTCATCCGGATCTGTTGGTTTTTCATGTCTATGGTTCAAGAAAGAACAATGCATAAAGATGAAACAAAAGAAAAAATTTTACACGTACCAAACAACAGCAGCTATATAAAGACCCCTGAAATGTATTTTGAACTAGATACCATGGCCATACCAAAACATAATTATTAAAACAGAGCTAATATCAAGGAACTTACTATATCACACAAGGACGTGCTAGCCTCCTAAAAGTCATTTAAATGGCTACAGGGTGGAAGTTTCCTTATAAACAAATGCTTTTGGGCTTCTCTGGTGGTACAGTGGATGGGAGTCTGCCTGCCAATGCAGGGACACAGGTTCAATCCCCGATCGGGGAAGATTTCACATGCGGTGCAGCAACTAAGCTGGTGCACCACAACTACTGGAGCTCGCATGCTGCAGGGCCCTTGAGCCACAAGTAACGAGGCTGTGTGCTTCAACTACTGAAGCCCAAATACCTAGATAGAGCCCATGCTCCGCAACAAGAGAAGCCACCACAATAAGAAGCCTGTGCACTGCAACGAAGAGTAGCCCTCACTCACTCCAAGCAGAGGAAAGTTCACACAGAGCAACAAAGACCCAGAGCAAGCAACAAATAAATAAATGCGAAAGAAATGCTTCTCGGCGCAATTCACTTCAAAACCAAAGGTAACCACAACATGGTTACCCCTCTCCAGGGCAACGGTTCTTAATGTATCTGAGGTCTTGTATTCCACGCAAGAGTATGATTAATCTATGGACCCAACCCCAGAAATAGGGAGAGCTAATTTTTTGTCAGGGGTGGGGTTTACCAACGCCAAGGTAAAAACTCCTAATCCAGATGCCCGGAAGTCTTGACTCAAACATACTCACACTTTAGAAGTCTGGCTTAAACTTATTTCAACTATACACTGAGATTCAAGCCAGTCATACCATGATAGCCAAGACTGACATCATAGGTAGGAACCTGAGGTCAACACTGATATTTTACGACAAGGCAACTGAGTCTCCCAAGGCCTGGTCATAGGTAAAAGTTCCATTATACGTAAGAACAACAATTCAATCTATCTCTCCTCCTAAGATATAAGATACATCACACTAGCTATATAAACTTTAACATTTTGAAGCATAGTTTAAGCCAGCACGTCCCCCTTCGTAGATAACTAGTCATCTGAAAGCAAACACTGAAAAAGCAGTTCAGCTCTTGCCTGTATGGACACTCCTCTCCTCTCTTACACTCTCCTTTCACCCAGAAGGAGCAAATGTGCGGTCGATTCCTTTTGTAGTAGGGTGTGGTCCGGGCCAGTTTGAGCAGCATGTCACTGGTGGATGTGGCTTTCCCCAACATGCCAACTGGCCGCGTTCCATCAGAGTTGGAAATCTATAGAGGAATGACACATTCCGAAGGTAAATTACACAGACTATGTCAATCCCCTAGGATTCTTTCATCAAATATAAAACTATATCAAGCAAGTGGCAGCGCACCTCTCTCTCCATATTCTGCGTGTAGTACTCTTTGTTGACGTCGGACTTTGGCATGTCATCCTTAAAAGATAATCCTGCATCACGAACCTGGATGGGCAGGCCTAGAACAAAGGAAAGGAAGAAAAAACTCAAGATACATTTTAAACCATATCCAAACTGAGTATGTAGACAGAATAATATAACATCATTCTTCCTTTCTCCACTTTATTTGGTAATAGAAGCTTTATTTTAATTCAGAATCTGTAGCACTGTCAAGCTAATACTACTACAGAGCATTCTAAGACATTCAAATTCCTAAGTTTTCATGAAATGAATATTTAAATATTTTAGATGAACAACCTCTTACTATAGTCAGATTTGACCTGCAATTGATAATGCATCTAGCTTTTACTGTATCATGATTTAAAACAAATGTAAAAAGTGGATTTTTTTAGGTTTGTCCTGCAGATCCTCTGAATAGTCATAGTCATGTAAGGATCACTGTACTGCAGAACTAGAACACTCCCTTAACAAACATACAAATAATATTAAACAGAATGTGACCAGGACTCTGATTTGCAGAGTTAACTTTCTGAATTTAACATAAATAAACTTAGATTTTCCCTTTTCGTTTTATTGCATAGTAGAAACTTGCTGAAAGGATGTTTTTCTGAAAAACAAAAAAGTTGCCTGCAGTTAAAAAGTCACTCCCAAAAGCAGTTACTCTGAAACAGTAGCAACACAGTGTATCAGTCCTAACAACACAGTTGATACAAAATCCCAAAGCACCATAGCCTGAACTCTGGTAGGATTGTGGAAGAAATGTTCCGGATCTAGACAGGGGTCCCAGGCAAAGAAATTACCTGTCATAGCAACAATGCCTCTAACTTACCTTGGCTACAAAGGTATACAGAAGGGAGGTTTAAGGCCTCCCTTCTGTATAATATAGTATTTAGTATAGTTGTGTTGACTAATTACCGACCTTTCTTAAAATCACTATTGTTCAGAACTCTAGAATAACCTAGTATGGTTCTTTTCTTCTTGGGAAAAGCAGAGCACAACAGACATTTCAAAGTGGGTCAGACAGCAATCCCACTTCTGGGCATACACACCGAGGAAACCAGATCTGAAAGAGACACGTGCACCCCAATGTTCATCGCAGCACTGTTTATAATAGCCAGGACATGGAAGCAACCTAGATGCCCATCAGCAGACGAATGGATGAGGAAGCTGTGGTACATATACACCATGGAATATTACTCAGCCATTAAAAAGAATTCATTTGAATCAGTTCTAATGAGATGGATGAAACTGGAGCCCATTATACAGAGTGAAGTAAGCCAGAAAGATAAAGACCATTACAGTATACTAACACATATATATGGAATTTAGAAAGATGGTAACGATAACCCTATATGCAAAACAGAAAAAGAGACTCCTATGTATAGAACAGACTTGTGGACTCTGGGAGAAGGCGAGGGTGGGATGTTTCAAGAGAACAGCATCGAAACATGTATATTATCTAGGGTGAAACAGATCACCAGCCCAGGTTGGGTGCATGAGACAAGTGATCGGGCCTGGTGCACTGGGAAGACCCAGAGGGATCGGGTGGAGAGGGAGGTGGGAGGGGGGACCGGGATGGGGAATACATGTAAATCCATGGCTAATTCATTTCAATGTATGACAAAAACCACTGCAATGATGTAAAGTAATTAGCCTCCAACTAATAAAAATAAATGAAAAAAATAAAAAATAAAATAAAATAAATAAAAAAAAATAAAACCTCAAAGTGGGTCAGAGCCAGAGACAGGGTGAAAAGAGGGAGAGAGGAAGCCTGCTGTGCTGTTGAGAGCAGCGGCACACTTTCAGAACTGTGGGACAAGTCAAACATACCGTACTCTAGGTCTAAGAGGCAGGTCTGACAGACATTCTTCAATTTACTGCAGGTCTGGCACACTTCAGTCTTCTTGAAACGCATGCGGACCCCAGGGCACCAGCGAAACACTGTGAATGGCCTGGCACAGATCTGGAACACAAGATAAAGCCACAGGGTGTTAACGGTCCTGATCTGGACAATTAATCCAGGAGATTTAGTAACAACAGGGGATTCAAAGAAAGGATCCCCAAATCTAGGGTTTAGAAGAGATCTTAGCAATCATCTAGTCTAAACAGGATCTGATGTTTCAATCCCTTACAACACTCTTCTTCAGTAGTTTAAATACTCAAATATCAAAGTCCTCCCCACTCTAGAGGTCACCAGCATTAACAATGTAATTCTTAAATCTTTTATGGGGTGAGTAGGGAGTGTCCTACAATTCTTTAAGAATTTTACATCTATGACCTTCCCCCTCAGCTTAAAAATGTTCATGGGCATAATCACAGAACATCTGATACATGCAATCCCAGGGGGTTCAAAGACCAACCACAGACATCAAGTTAAGAATCCCTGCATTAAACGGCTCATTTTCTTACCTCTACCCTAAACAGTTAACAGCCAAAAAGTATATAAATGATACATGAATGCATGTGTCACACTCACTTTTATAAAGGACTTCAAACCTCAGGGAGTAGAAGAAAAAAGGAAAATAAAACTAAATCATTACTCTTTAACACACTTACTTTGCATTCCTTCCCATACTTTTCTTTGGTCTGAAAGAGAAAAAACAGAGGAGTTACAGACACAGGGGGAAAAAAAGCTGATGCCTGCTCCTTCTCTACATAGGATCCAAGAAAAGTATCTGAAAATCCCTGGCATCTTAAGGGGTGGGAGAGGGAAACGGGACCCTACCCTTTTTGGGGAGGAGGGCAAAGAAGGGTCTGGGATATAATCTAATCACATACAAACTATGACCTTTTAGGAATTTTATGGATCTAACACGGAGTAAGTATGTACCTTTCCACAACCACAATTCTTAGATTCACCTCTGGCTCCCAAGTTCTCTCCCAAGAACAATTTCCTAATGGTTTCCACAGTCCCTAAAGCACAGAGGATGCAGCCACAGCCAATCCATTTTCCAAAGTTTAGTCAGAGGTAACTACTACACACTCATCCTGTGATGGTCCTCTGTATATAATAAATCAATATCTCTGAGATTGATCACAACACAGCCCTAATTATTAAATATAAACTGCTGCTAATTTTACTCTTATTTATAAGGAGAGAAAGTACCTAAACACATTATAAGGTGTGGAGGCCAAAAGGCACTTGACTTCAGTCCTGGTTCTCCTTCTAATTTGCTGAGGTCCCTGGAGTCAGAATATCTGAACTTAAATCCTAGTTCCACACCATACTTGCTGTATTCAACATAAACTCTCCTTGCCTCTGGTTAACAGACCTGATTCCTATGTAAATGTTCAATGGATATTAGCTATTATTATAACTCCTAGATCACAGACCGTCGCCGAGTTCCAAAGTGAGAAAACATGACAGTCCTTTGCAAATTTTTCCTACGCTTCGGGTTAGTAAAGAAGCATCATTACTTCTTCGTGGCTAAGAGAAATACATGACCGACAGTGTGCGAGTGCCACAACATTGACAGAACATATACAGCAGGTCCCGTTTTATACTCAATCACTCACCATTCGGATATATGGGTTTTCTCCAAGACACGTCTGGCACAGAATAGGGAAGTCCTGGTGAAAACGGGAAAACTGGTTGAACGCCAAGCTCCAAAGGCCTTGCCATCTCAGCCACTGTCGTGCGGCGGCGGGGAGGGGGCGAGGAGCGAGGCTGGGGAACAGGGGGAACCCGTGGTCCAGCACAGGCCGGGTCGCGGGAGGGGGTGCTGCATGCACTTCCGGGAGGCGGCGGGAGTAAAGACCCGCTCGAAAAGAGTGGAGGGAGTAGGGACAGAAAGGGAGCTGCTCCCAGACCCTGGCTAAACCCCCTCCATCCAAGCCCTCAGGAGGGCCGCCCTCCAGACTTCAGCCGTAGCCGAGTTAGGCCGCGGTGCTGGCTTCTTGGAATTCCCTCGGCCGCACCGCAGCCACGTCCCTGCCCACCCGCTGGAGGTCTGACTTCGCTGCCTCTTTCTGTCCTCCTCCGGCACGCTCACTCACCGCATCCTCCCAGTTCTGCCTGTTGTAGGTGTTGGAACCTAGAGAGGTCGCCATCTTGAGAGCGTCTGGAGGCAGCCGCAGCTTCCGAGTTGGGAGAGGACCGCCACAATCCCGTCAGGCCCCGAGGCTGCCTCTCCGCACGTCGACGTTTTATTTACGCGTCTTTCGCGCCCTTAAAGGCGGCACCTTGTGTAATGGAATCGCTTGCTTGGAATTTCTTAACAATTGGACTCCAGGTACTTTCTTCCAGGGGTGACAGCCAGGAATGAAGAGTCACAACTTCAACTGGTTTATTTAAAAATTGAGTGAAAGAATATAGGAACTATAATAAACGAGTGCCTGGAATTAAAACAGCGTCGACCCCAATGAGCGCTTATTATGCCAAAAAGTGGGGGGAACGTCTTGGGGTGACTATCTCTTTTAATTCCCACAATAAGCCCGCTATAAGGTTGCCAGATTTAGCAAAAACCCAGAACTAGTAAAATTTGAATTTCAGATAAACAACGAAAGTTACTTTAGTATAAATTTGTTCCAAACATGCTTACACTAAATAATGACTCGTTTTTCTGAAAGTGAAATTTAGGAGGATGTCCTGTACTTTTCTGGTAACCACTGCCCTCTAGGCAAGTGGGAGTGTACCTCGTTTATAGAAGGAACCGAGGTTTAGAGAGATTAACTTGCTTCTGGTCGTGTAGCTAAAAACGGTGAAGCCACAAATCCAAAGACAATAGTACTTTTTCCAACTTAAATGAAAAGCTTTATGGATCAACACTGCTGCTGCTAAGTCGCTTCAGTCGTGTCCGATTCTGTGCGACCCCATAGACGGCAGCCCACCAGGTTCTGCCGTCCCTGGGATTCTCCAGGCAAGAACACTGGAGTGGGTTGCCGTTTCCTTCTCCAATGCATGAAAGTGAAAAGTGAAAGTGAAGTCTCTCAGTCGTGTGCAACTCTTCGCGACCCCATGGACTGCAGCCTACCCGGCTCCTCTGCCAAAGGGATTTTCCAGGCAAGAGTACTGGAGTGGGTTGCCATTGCCTTCTCCGATGGATCAACACATGTACTGTTAAATCATTTTTGGAACAACTATCCTTTTGGGTTTGACTTCTCTTGCAGATGGTGACTGCAGCCATGAAATTAAAAGACGCTTACTCCTTGGAAGGAAAGTTATGACCAATCTAGACAGCATATTAAAAAGCAGAGACATTACTTTGTCAACAATGGTCCGTCTAGTCAAGCCTACGGTTTTTCCAGTAGTCATGTATGGATGTGAGAGTTGGACTATAAAGAAAGCTGAGCACAGAAAATTGATGCTTTTGAACTGTGGTGTTGGAGAAGACTCTTGAGAGTCCCTTGGACTGCAAGAAGATCCAACCAGTCCATCCTAAAGATCAGTCCTGGGTGTTCACTGGAAGGACTGATGTTGAAGCTGAAACTCCAATGCTTTGGCCACCTGATGTGAAGAGCTGACTCATTTGAAAAGATCCTGATGCTGGGAAAGATCGAGGGCAGGAGGGAAGGACGAGATGGTTGGATGGCAACACCGACTCAATGGACATGAGTTTGAGTAAACTCCGGGAGTTGGTGATGGACAGGGAGGCCTGGCGTGCTGCAGTTCATGGGGTCGCAAAGAGTCGGACATGACTGAGCAACTGAACTGAACTTGGCATACTGTATTTGAAATTCATCCATATTGTTACATATACCAGTAATTTGTACCTTTTTATTGCTGAGAATTTCACTGTATGGATGTATTTGGGGTTAAAACACACACATTTGCTAATTAATGGACATTTGAGTTATCCAGATTTCAGTGAATACAAATAAAAGCATTATAAACATTCACAATACAGGTTGTTGTATAGACATAGGTTTTCATTTTGCATGTGGATTGGGATTGCTTGATCATATGGTCTATTTTTTCCTGTATAGGAAAGTGCTTGGGTTTTTTTAAACTGAGCTTCAAACATTTGTGATTTGTTGTCCTTCATTATAGTTTGAAAATTCTTAACAGTTTTAAATATTCTTTAAATATTCTGCCCAGTTTCTTCTCTGTCTGGGACTCCAGTGACATATTAGACTATATGATATCATCCCATAGACCTTGAGGGCTTCCCTGGTAGCTCAGACAGTAAAGAATCTGCCTGTAATGCAGGAAACCCTAGTTCAGTCCCTGGATTGGAGAGATCTCCTGGAGAAGGGAATGACAACCCCCTCCAGTATTCTTCCCAGATAATTCCATGAACAGAGGAGCGTGGTGGGCTACAGTCCATGGGCTCACAGAGTCAGGCACAACTGAGCAACTGCTATATATTATTATTCATAGACCTTGAGTACTGTTTTCTTTTTGGGAGTTTCAGTTTGGATAATTTCTGTTCACCTGTTTCCGAGTTTCCTGATTATTTCCTCAGGTATGATAAGGTGTTCTGATGAGCCCAGAGAAGATATTCCTCATCTCTGATCCTGTGGTTTTCATTTCAGCTTGTCCCTTTCTTATAGTTTCTGTTTGCTGAAATCTGCTCATGTATATTATCCCAATTTTCAACTAGATCTTCAACATGTTAATCATAGTTAAATCCCTGACCAATAGTTGCAATATCTAGGTCATATGTGAATAGAGTCTTATTGTTTTGTCTATCACAAATGGGTTGATTTTTTTCTTGCTTCTTTGTGTATCTCAAAATTTTTATTGAATGCCAGTTGTTACTTATGTATCAGTAGAGACTTAAGTCAATAGTATTAATGTCTGGAAATAAGCAAGTCTCTTCTTCTGCCAGGCCATTTGTGTTGGGTTTTGTCAGTCTAGGCAGGAACTGGGCTAGGTTTGGGCTTTGTTGTTGCTATTCTTGCCTTTAGTGTACCACAGATTTCAGATCGCTGATGTTATTTTGTCTTTTGCTTGGGACTGTAGAATTTTTCTCAAGTGTTCATACTTCATCCTTAGCTTTCAGCTGTTGTGCAGAACTGCACCATAATGACAGGTCTCTATGCCCTTTGCCCATGCCCCCAGCAACTGCTTGCTGGGTAGGTAGTCAGAGAGAAGTCAGGGTTCTTTGTTCTAATTCAGCCTCAGTCTTTAGTAAGTCCCTTGTGCCCAGTCCTTGGGAATGAGTCTCTTCTCAGCATTCTTGTCCCTCCTTTCTGTGGCAGCCAAACCCCGACTTGTATCTGTGGTTGGTCTTGAGAGGGAGTTTCCTGCCCCTCTTGCATTGGCAGGAGGCCTTTAATGGTAATGGTATAAAATCCTGGAGCTCAGGATTGAATCCTGTCCCTCCCAAGAGTAGAGGTTTTTTCTTACCTTGACCCAGCAGCAATGAGTCTTTACATGTGCCCTCTGTAGACAGGGTTTTCTGCTCCCCCCAGTGGCTTAGGCCTTTTTTGCTCTTATTGAGGGAAGGACCTAGGCAGGGAGAAGCACGGTTTCATGACTTTCCTATGCCTCCTTCCTTTGCATGCCTCCAAACCCAGGGAGGCGCTACAGAGGTTCACGCCTCCCAAGTCTTTCTCATGAACACAGGGTGAGTTTTTGGTTTTTTTTTTTTAGGGTGGAGTTTTTGGGAAGAGCTGGTCTGTGCATGCACGGTCCCTCAATATCTCAGGCTCCCAGGGGTTTTATATTGTCATGTTAGCTTCAGTTTGGCCTTTAGCAATTCTTTAATATTTTAGTTGATTTTCTCTTATCTGCGTATATGGTGGTCAACACTCCTCCCATGCCCTGCTACAGGTGAACAAGTCTACGTCCTGTCTCTCCTTGGAGGGGTTTGTCCGTCCTTGAAATTCAGGCTAGTTGACTGCCCTGCCACATCGGCCATCTGACAGACCCAATAAAATGCATGATTTTGTCATCTATCCAGTTTTCTGTTTGAGTCAGGGTGATACTCTTTCCAGATAGCTACATCACAGGCATAAGTGGAACTTCTGAGTCTCCTTTTACCTAATATATTTTAAGAGGAACATTTTTAAAATCACTTCGGTAAATGTTAAATCATATCACGTGTGTATCGTATCACATAATGTAACCTTAAGAACAAATACAATGAAAACGAAACAGTACTTTTCAGTAAGCTACTGTTGTCTGCCAAAGGCTGAGCCAGAAGCCCATGTTTTTAAAAAAAAAAAGTGTTACATAGGACTTCCCAGGGGGCACAGAATCTGCAAGTCAGTGTAGAGAACGTGGGTTCCACCCCTTGTCCGGGAAGACTGCACACGCTGCGGAGCTGTGTGCCACAACTCCTGAAATCTGTGTGCTCCAGGGACCACAACAAAGAGTAGCCCCCAGTCTCCAAAACTAGAGAAAGCCCTGGAGCACCAAAGACTCAGCACAGCCATGAATAAATAAAATTATATATATATAAAGTGTTACATAAAAGAACTGATATTTACCTTTGATGTAACAGAAAGATGAGTGGGAAGGGGAGCAGGGCATGAAAATGAAACAACTTTTTGACTGTTTGATTCCATGTTATTTAATGTTACTTTTGCTTCACTGTCTTGTGTAGGCAGTTTATATTGTGAAATAAATTTCACTATAGATGTCCCTGACCACTAGAAAATGGGGATAAATAAAGGTTGACCCTTGAACAACACAGCTTTGAACTGCATGGGTCCACTCATACACACTCCCTGCCCCCTGTCCAGTAAACACATACTACAGTACTACATAATCTGCAACTTGGTTAAATCCATGGATACAGAACCTTGGATACAGAGGCCAACTATAAACTTATACACAGGTTTTTACCCATGTCAGTGTCCTTAACCCCTGCACTGTGCACTGTTCAAAGATCAACTATATTGCAATTGAGCAAGTGACTTAGCTCTTGAGTTTTTTAATTTATTCCAGACTACCCTTGGACTGGAATATACTGGGTTGGACCAAAAGTTCATTTTGAGTTTTTCCTTAACAACTTATGGGAAAACCCTAACAAACTTTTTGATCAATCCAGTAGAAGAAACAAAAGGGCCTGGATTTGGCTCTATAGGGGTGTGCAATAAAGCAAAGGAGCGATACACAGACAAAACCCAGTATTAGGAAGCGGTAAAATGCCCTGGTGGCTTAGACGGTAAAGCGTCTGCCTGCAATGCAGGAGACCTGGGTTTGATCCCTGGGTCAGGAAGATCCCCTAGAGAAGGAAATGGCAACCCACTCCAGTACTCTTGCCTGGAAAATTCCATGGATGGAGGAGCCTGGTGGACTACAGTCCATGGGGTCGCAAAGAGTCGGACACGACTGAGAGACTTCACTTCACTTCAAATGCCTGGAAAGGTTAGGTACTAAAGATTAAGACCACATCTAAATGGGATGAAGAGAGAGGTGAGAGCAGGAAATTAACTCTGGAGAAGGCACAGTGAGGAAAAAGTATCCTAGGCAGAGATGACACCAGCACGAGAGGTCAAAGCAAGTAAGATATTTGGCTTATGACAAAAAAAAAAAGCATATATATACATATATATATGATACATTATATATATTTTTTAAGATAAAAGGTCAACAGCTATATAAACAAGAAAAAGGCAGATGGTATTAACAAATACTAGTTGCCTGCTACTTGCCAGGCATTGCTCTATGCTCTGCAGATGTATCAGTTAAAAAAAAAAACAACACACTACAGAGCTTACATAAGCTCCATAAGTACAATGAATCAATAAATATATACTGCTGGATGGTGACTAGTGCTACTGGGGGAAAACAGCCACAAAGAAGGGGGATATGTGTCTATTAGTAGAGAGCAGTTTACATGATTATCTAGAGAGGTCATGGAAAGCCTGAGGAGGAAGCAATTAAACATAGACCTGACTGGTGGGGGTTTGGGTCGTACAGGAGTCGAGGAGAAGTTCTCCAGGCAGAGGGAACAGCCAGTGCAAAGGCCCTAAGAGGGTGCCTCCTGGGGTGACTCAGGAACAGGAGACCCCTGTGGCTGGGGTGCAGTGAGCACAGGGATGTACTTGATGAATTCGGGGAGGCAGTGGGGTTCAGTTCCTATAGGTCCTCCTAAGTTATTGTAAGGACTTTGTTTTGCTGTTGAGCAAGCTAAGAAGCCAAAGGATTTTAAGCAGCAAAATGACTCTGGCTGCTATGCTGAGAACTGACTAAAGAGTGGGGCAAGGACCAGGATGGCTTCAAGATCAATTTAGACCTTACTGGGTTAATCACCTAGGGGTCTATGTAGATGACCTGATTTAGCCCAGGATAGTAACACTGGAGAGGCTGTGGTCACAGTTTGAAGACAGAACTGAAAGGGGTTGCTGACTTACCACATGTGGCATATAAGAGTCATCGGTGATGTGTGATGTTGTGAGCAACTGAAAGTATACAACTGCCATCTGCTCATTCGCTTCAGTCATGTCTGACTCTTTGTGACCCCACGGACGGTAGCTTGCCAGTCTCCTCTTTCCATTGGATTTTCCTGGCAAGAATACTGGAGGGGGTTGCCATATCCTCCTCCAGGGGATCTTCCCCACCCAGGGATTGAATCCGTGTCTCCTGCACTGCAGGCAGATTCTTTACCACTGAGCCACCTACTGGAAGCCATCTAGTTAGAGATGAATCTGCTGGAGAGGCAGATGCGGTGACATAAAATCCAGACCGTGGTTTTGGACTTTCATAGAGTAGAGTTGGTATGTAAACTTGGGAATGGCTTGAAAAATGGGTGAGATCACTAACAGTGAGTAGAAATAAGACCTGGCATATGCTCCAAGGTTAGGAAGATGGGACAGAACTAGCAAAGGACACAAAAGCAAGTTGCCAGAAGGGTACCAAGAAAACCAAGAGAGCTGTGTTCTAGAAATCAAGTGACTCATTCTTTCAAGCAGGGAGGCGTCCACTGGCAGATGCCACCCATGTAGTAAAGAGATAAGATCTGAGAACTAACCACTGTATTTAACGGGGTGGACTGCTGGGGACCTTCACAAGGACTGTTTTGGTAATGTGGTGGTGGTGGCAGCCTAAGTGGAATGGGCTCGGATGAAAATGGAAGGAGGAACTGGAAGGTAAAGCTGGGAGCTTTGCTGAAAAGGGAATAGAAAAATGGAGTGGTGGCTAAAGAGGGGTGTTAGGTCAATTTTTTAAAGATTAATCACAGCATGCCAATGGAAATGATGCAAGAGAAGGACGGGGAGAAACTGCTGAAGTGCATTCCTTGAACAGGTAAGAAGGTGAGACTGAACGCAGTAAGTGGTGGCACTGGCTTTAAACAAGAGGAACCTGAACAATTCACTACAATAAAAGGAGGGAAAAGCTGAGTACAAATCAAAGTGGATGAGTGGCTACTTGTACATTTAAAAGGTATCTTTGCCAGCAATGATGCAGGAGAAAAGTTGGTTGAGTCCTAACAATGTAACATTTACACAACAGTTCTGAGATAGGGAGCTCAAGCAACATCTATCTATATAATGTTACACTGAACTACATTGAGGTTTTACCTTAGTCCATTTTAAGAAATGAGAAGGGAACATGCCCCACTGACTCTCATGCTAACTGCTGACTCCACCCTCCCCAAGCACTGGCATGCTACTCCAATCAGCCATCATGAAACCAAACAAAAGACACACTCAAGCTTTGTCTGCTTTATTTCACTACATGAAGTTAAGCAATAAGGCAAAATAGTAACCTGTCATTCATAAAGACCAAGGAGTGCCTCTCATTCCCAAAATGGACCAAAAAGGTTATTTCTTCACAAATATGCATGACATTTAGCTCATTAAGTCTATAAACAGTCTGAACAAAAGAAAACTCTAGTGGGCCAATCAAATCACAAATTCAGATTAAATTCCCCAAACTGCAGTTTCTAGTGCTAATGACATCTAATTTGCTTGCAGTGGTACACAGTCACCATACTTTAAAAATCTTGCACCTGATCTAGTATAAAGAACGAACAAATAAAAGTCCAAATTCACCAGCTACAGATTTTGAACCATTTCTACTAACACACAGAATTACCGGCTTGTACTGAAAACTATCTAGAAGAAACATTAAATCAATAGCTCCGTTATTCTGCAAGTTAACTTGGCTTCTGAGGAAAAAATTTTATGATCAAAAGTGTCTTTGTGTTTCTGTGTCACATGGGGGTGATGAGACCCGTTACTTCAACATTGTTATTTCTGGGAACAAACACCAGCTATATGCCATAAATGCCTAACAGTGTGTAGTCTGTGCAAACATGTAAACACAGGACGTTATTCTCTACCTTGAGGCTCATCTCCTCCACTGGCAATTATGAAGCACTGGCGTCATGGCAGGCTGTAGCAGGTAGTGAAATAGAAATAAGAATTTGACACTTTGTGTGGTCACAAAAACTTAAAAACTATTTCTACAGTTTGCAAATTTGTCATTATACAACACGCTGCCCCAACTCCTAAGAGGCTAAGCCTTATTACTGTCATAATATTAGAGATATGACTTTTTTCTTATGCTGCAGCACATATATTACTCTGTAGAATATTGTTTCATAATATTGGTTTGATCTTAAGAGTACTATTTAGTGTCTTTCAAAGGTTTTCTAAATATTTCTACCTACCAAGGGGAGCTGAAAAGTTACTGTGTCCTATATCTTAAGTTGCTATATACATTTTTTTTAAACTAAAGGCTTGAACTTAGAAACAAAACCAGGGTATAAACAGGAAATTTCTCTTTCCCCCAAAAATCTGTTGGCCACTTGCTAACAATACATTTATGGAAATGTGGTGCAGCTGGTGGTCTACTTTGTCAAGTCTCATTTTAGAAAACATCACTGAAACTAAGGTTGGCAAGCCAACTCCAGGATACCAAGTGTAAAAAAGCATGTGTGTTGTTAGGCAAGTATTCTGGGCTGCTTGTTGAACTATTTTATGGTTTATAATCAAAACGGTCTTATGTGACAAACTGTACAATAAAAGTCATAAACTCAGGAAGGAGGAAGGTTTCTTCTTAATATCCAGTTTTGGATTAAGAGATTACAAATGTTACTTTCCTCTTTAATCACTGGAAAGAACATTAGTTCAGATCATGATAAAAATGTAACCTTTAAGATATTTTCTGCATTCCAGAAGTGAACTTGCCCACCAAGTTTTCTTTGGGCTCTTTCCAGGTCCCAAATACTCAACAACTTACTGAGTTAAAGAGGCAGAGAGAAGAAGGGGTACGGAGTAAGACATATAAAGCATGCCTCCCTGTGGCAGCATCAATCCCTGGATATTGTGGCAACAGTTAAAATGAATAGAATTTGCCACCCCAGTGACATGACATGCAATTGCTTCCTTCTCAAATTTTCCCTAGGAGAAAAAGTTCCATATTCTGCTGGGAAAAAAAATTTTAAGAGCAACTAATACATTAAGTATCCTACATTCACTTAAAGAGGTCAAATGAAGGTGCCTTAACTATTTCACAGGTCTTTCCAATCATCACAAAACTAAAGACAACGTGACAATTCTATTTTCCTGTCAAATGGATGGGAGCCAGGAGGCAAGGAAAGGGATATATATTTAGAGTGCTAGACTATATCCAGTGGAATGCAAAAAGCAGTTGGTACAACACTGAGACCAGTGCCAGGTCATCAATAGCAGGTCTGCCAGGTCATCAATAGCAGGTCTAACTTTCGGTTATTTTACGTTTTCATCTGTGAGACTGATCCTTTATGAGATCAGGTCGGGAGATTGTATGGACAGTTTCTCAAGTGGTCAATTGAATGCCACCCCAAGGAACAGCCACCCCCTTTCTTGGGATGGAACTATGCTGCTGTGAGTCAACGTGCAGGGGTTCAGTGAGGGAGACAGACTTGCGGGTGTGAACAGATGGGGGGAACCAGAGGTGCAGCAGTCGTGTGTTCCTAACGCCTTGCCTGTGCGCCCACCCTCCCAGGAACAGGACTCAGCAGTGCACGGTACATCATTATAAACAAGGCCCAACGAAGCACGGCTTCCACACTGTAACAACGCAGGCTCGTGGTGATGCTGTCCTTTGGGATCTGCCCGCCAGCGGAGCATTTTAAGGAAGAAGCGGGCCCAAGCTGAGCTCCACATGCTGGGTGAGCCAGATGACTTCTGCGCCCTGGTCAGTTTCTTCCATGGGGCGGATGGGAGTGGCCAGGTTTTTAAAATCGTGCTTCATCTTAAAACACACGGTCACTTCGCCCTCCTCACGTTGTGGGGTCACTTTGATGAAAATACCCACTTTGTTGGCCTTTCTGAAGGCTATAATGCTATGGAAGGAAATAAGCACAGCGTTAGGCAGGTCACAGGTCAGCCAAGCCAGTTGGACTCACAGTCATTTTATGGCCCACAGGAAATCTCTGATGACAAGATACGACCAGAATCCCGTTTGTCAACAATGAAGAGTTTCTTCAGCAAAATGCCAATCTCCTTATATTATTACAAAAGTAAAATATAGTCATAAAACTTAAGATAGGAAAAAGTAAATCTTTCTTCTTACTTCCCTCTTCAGTATACAGAGAAAAGCTGTCAACAGTTTGGCTCTTATGACTTACTACATATTTTTCCATGCACTTACACTTTTATGTTTTTTTAACCAAAACAAAAGGGACACACTATTCTGTAACAAGCTTTTTTCCCACTGTTTATCACAAACACCTGTCCATATTGGTATATATAGATCTTCTCCATTTTACTTAATGGATGCAGAGCAACCATAATTTGTTTATACTGATTTCCTGTTACAAACATATTTTCACATTAACTTCTATAAACATGTGGTAATATTTCTACAGGATACAGACTGATGCTAACTCAGAGCTTTAAAGAATTTCTGGAATATCATAAATCAGTGTGTCTTGCAAAGAGCCTCTGTGAATTAGGAATTTTTAGAATAGAAAAAAATCTCTAGTTGAAGTTGCCATCTCAGTTTTCTGATATGTACTTGAAGTTTGTGTTTAAACAGTTTAGCTTCAAAAGTAAAAAACAATGAAATAAACAGAACTTGATCTACTATCCAAATGATACTCAACTACTGTAAGAAGAGTTACTGAAACTAAATATTTACATATTTCCACTATTATGTACTATTAATTTCCAGATATCTGGAAGTCCTATAAAGTACAATAATGTGAAACATAATTAAGCATTATACTAGCACAACCATTTTGAACTAACTAAATCTTATTTATATTAGACTCATGTAAAAAATTAAATTAAAAATAGTTTAAAAAAAAAGTCTTTCTAGCCTTAACTTCCCAGGCAACCACTGATGCCTGGGAAGCTTTAAAAAAAAAAAATTCAGATTCTTGGTGCCTACCTAGACCTGCTAAAGAGAAGCTGTGGGGACTGGTACTCTATATGGAATTTAAGAAAAAAAAATTAAAACACCCAACCCGGTGCTTTCTGAAGTTAACCCAAGTGTTGCGATCACTGTACTAACCTCACCTTTGCTGTCACTTGGTTTTTCTAATTTGTCCCATGTTATTATATTTGTTCTCTCCAGTATCTTGGTGAGGAAGCTTTTAATCATTTTGTTAAAAAGCCTTAAATATGCCCTATACTAGTGTACTAAATGCTATTGCGTCTCAGCTCAAAGCACATTCTTTGTTTTCTTAATTTATTTTCTTGACCACACCACACATCTTGTGGGATCTTAGTTCCCTGAACAGGGATGGAACCTCTGAAGTGGAGGTGTGGAGTCCTAACCACTGGACTGCCAGGGAATTCCCTAAGCCCACTTTCTGTATCCTGCTTTGTGACACAGGATTCTGCTAACCACACTCGTGCTTTTTAGGCTGGCTCCCTGTCAGGCTCCCTTCAGGGGCTCTAACAACCCAGTAGCCTCTGGGAAGAAGGGGCTGCTCCTCCGGGTGAGCCTCCTATCTCCGTGCAGCTCCAGCGGGCAGCACACCAGCAACGCATCTTCACTCAGGAAGTGGCATATCCAGGAGCGGTTTCCAACTGCACAACCAGCTTCGGCATGCCACGCTGCCTCTGCCAGCCTGCCAGGCCAGCACCAGTCAGGCAGTGTCCCCTCCCTCCCCCACTTCCCAGAGGTCTGAGTTGCAGCTCCACCGGGCTCCTCCTTCCTTCAAGCTTCTAAATTCTAATCATTTTAACCATTTCGCTTAATTCTCTTAGCCCTAGGCATGGTAACTCCTTCACTGAATTGCCATCTCTGGGATATTTCAGATTTCTTTTTAACTTTTAAAGTTACCCAGTTAACAAGTCTTCATATTAAATTCTCTCTGTTCAAATAACAGATGTGAATTCTGTTTTTTAGACTGAAAGCTAACCAAAGTATTCCTCATCTGGGAAAGGTTTGGCTTTTACTTCTCAGTTAATAAGTGAGAAGTATTAGGTATGATAGAGTAATATCTATTAATCACTCAAAGAGGGAAAGGTGGCGGGGAAGTTGACAAATCCAACGATAAATCTCTGGGGAAAGAGTACTGTACCCTGTACACAATCATTAACAAACATGCCCCTGAAAATTTTTTACCATGGGAAACACAGGTTAAAACAACTGTGCTTACAGAATGATCCTAATTATGGAAATGTTACTGGTGTTTATCTCTGGTGGTGAGATTTCATTTTCTTCTTTATATATATGATTTAATATATCCTATAATATGGGTTTCCCTTGTGGCTCAAGTGGTAAAGAATCTGCCTGCAATGTGGGAGACCTGGGTTCAATCCCTGGGTTGGGAAGATCCCCTGGAGAAGGGAAAGGCTACCCACTCATGGTAGTCCTTCCATGGACTCTATAGTCCATGGGGTCATAAAGAGTCAGACACGACTGAGCAACTTTCACTTTCACTTTCACTTCACTAATATATCTTCATATATATCAGTTAATAATAATAAATAGGAAGAAAAAAATTACTTAAATTCAGGTAAGAAAACAGATCTATCAGTGGGCCTCCTGTAAACCAGCCAACTGCGGCGTGTGGGTGGGAGGGTGGCGGCGAGTCGCGGAAAGCACACTCACTCAGGATCGTCCTGGAAGTCCTGGGGTTCTGCCAACTCGTCATACTCTGCTGCTGCGTCCTTGCCGGCTAAAACGAGCTCTTTGGGAGGCACCGCCACCTGGAGAGCAGCACAAAAAGGCTGGCCTCAGAAGGGGTCAGCGCACTGCAAGCATCATCCAACAGAGGACAGCAAGCACTGCCCTGACCCAGACACACGGAAGGAAGCAGCAAGTTTCAAGAAACACACAACATTACTTCACTTACAAAAAGTTTAAAAGCATATTGTTTGGGAATACAGACATGTATGATAAAAGATAAGAACAAAGAAATGTAAGGGAATGAAAAAGTCAAGAGAGTGCTTAGTTCATTGGGGCTGCCATGGGTAATTCAAGTGAGAGGACACGGGGGCTTCAATTGTGTCTTCAATGTTTTATTTCTTAAGGGGCTGGTGGAACATGGGTGTTAGTATATTGTTCTCTATACTCTGTGGTATAAAAAAAGAAAAACAAAAAGGAGAAACACATAAAACATATAAAGGAGAAACATATAACCTAAAACAAAGGAGAAACCTAAAACACATAAAGGAGGAAAACACATAAAGGAGAAACTTAAAACTTCCAACAATACAAGAGAAGATTCTACACATGGACATCACCGGATGGTCAATATTGACATCAGACTGATTATATTCTTTGCACCCAAAGATGGAGAAGCTCTACACAGTCAGCAAAAACAAGACCGGGGGCTGACTGTGGCTCAGATCATGAACTCCTTATTGCCAAATTCAGACGTAAGTTGATGAAAGTAGGGAAAACCACTAGACCACTCAGGTATGACCTAAATCAAATCCCTTTTGATTATACAGTGGAAGTGACAGATTCAAGGAATTAGATCTGATAGACAAGACTGCCTGAAGAACTATAGATGGAGGTTCATGACGTTGTACAGGAGGCGGTGATCAAGACAATCCCCAACAAAAAGAAATGCAAAAAGGCAAATGGTTGTCTGAGGACACCTTACAAATAGCTGAGAAAAGAAGATAAGCTAAAGGCAAAAGAGAAAAGGAAGATATACCCATTTGAATGCAGAGTTCCAAAGACTAGCAGAGAGAGATAAGAAAGCCTTCCTCAGTGATTAATGGAAATAGAGCAAAACAATAGAATGGGAAAGACTAGAGATATCTTCGAGAAAATCAGAGATACCAAGGTAACATTTCATGCAAAGATGAGTACAATAAAGGATATAAATGTATGGACCTGACAGAAGCAGAAGAGATTAAGAAGAGGTGGCAAGAATACACATAAGAACTATACAAAAAGATCTTAATGACCCAGATAACCACGATGGTGTGATCACTCACCTAGAGGCAGACATCCTGGAATGCGAAGTCAAGTGGGCCTTAGGAAGCATCACTACAAACAAAGCTAGTGGAGGTGATGGAATTCCAGCTGAGCTATTTCAAATCCTAAAAGATGATGCTGTTAAAGTGCTGCACTCAATCCGCCACAAATTTGGAAAACTCAGCAGTGGCCACAGGACTGGAAAAGGTCAGTTTTCATTCCAATCCCAAAGAATGTTCAAACTACCGCACAATTGCACTCATCTCACATGCTAGCAAAGTAATGCTCAAAATTCTCCAAACCAGGATTCAACAGTACGTGAACTGTGAATTTCCAGATGTTCAAGCTGGATTTAGAAAAGGCAGAGGAGCCAGAGAGCAAAGTGTCAACATCTGTTGGATTACAGAAAAAGCAAGAAAGTTCCAGAAAAACATCTACTTCTGCTTTATTGACTATGCCAAAGCCTTTGACTGTATGGATCACCACAAACTGTGGAAAATTCTTCAAGAGATGGGAATACCAGACCACCTTACCTTACCTGCCTCCTGAGAAATCTGCATGCAGGTCAAGAAGCAACAGTTAGAACCAGATATGGAACAAAAGACTGGTTCCAAACTGGGAAAGGAGTTCATCAGTCAAGGCTGTATATTGTCACCCTGCTTATTTAACTTCTATGCAGAGTACATCATGTGAAATGCCGGGCTGGATGAAGCACAACCTGGAATCAAGACTGCCAGGAGAAATATCAATAACCTCAGATAACGCAGATGACACCACCTTTATGGTAGATAGCAAAAAAGAACTCAAGACCCTCTTGATGAGAATGAAAGAGGAGACTGAAAAAGCTGGCTTAAAACTCAACATATAAAAAATGAAGATTATGGCATATGGTCCCATCACTTTATGACAAATAGATGGGGAAACAGTGGAAACACTGACATATTTTATTTTGGGGGGCTCCAAAATCACTGCAGATGGTGACTGCAGCCATGAAATAAAAAGATGCTAGCTCCTTGGAAGAAAAGCTATGACAAACCTAGACAGCGTATTATAAATCAGAGACATTACTTTGCTGACAAAGGTCTGTCTAGTCAAGGCTATGGTTTTTCCAGCAGACATGTATGGATGTGAGAGTTGGACCATAAAGAAGGCTGAGCACTAAGAATTGATGCTTTTGAACTGTGCTGTTGGAGAAGACTCTTGAGAGTCCCTTGGCCTGCAAGGAGATCAAACAAGCCCATCCTAAAGGAAATCAGTCCTGAATATTCTATTGATAGAATTGATGCTGAAGCTGAAATTCCAATACTTTGACCACCTGATGCAAAGAACTGACTCCTTAGAAACGACCCTGATGCTGGGAAAGATCGAGGCAGGAGGAGAAGGGGAAGACAGAGGATGAGATGGTTGGATGGCATCACCAACTCGCTGGACATGAGTTTGAGCAAGCCCTGTGAGTTAGTGATGGACAGGAAAGCCTGGCATCCTGCAGTCCACGGGGTCACAAAGAGTCAGACATGACTGAGCGACTAAACTGAACTGAAAGGAGAAACAGTGGTTCCAACATATTTTCTGAAATGGGAATATTGGCTATGTTTATGGCCATGAGAAACAGTTTTCTTCAGACTTAGCCTTTGGTTGTAACTCGGCTTCAACTTTGCTATGTTAGAGGTTAACAGATAACAATGTTAATAACATTTCTAATTATGGAAATAAATGTGGCTGGGGAGCTGAAAGAGAGAGAAAAGCAGCAAATTCATAAGCTGGATATATTTATCAGGCACTTATTTCTATCTGGATAGAGACACTGGATAGCTCACTAGTGTTATTTTGAAAAGGAGCAAGGACAGATGAGTGTCATCTCTCTTTGGAAGTGATGCTGGTAAATGAAATCATTAAAAAGCAGAAGGAAAAATAAAGAGATAAATTCTCTACTAATAAGCATAACTTGAAAAACAGCTAATTAAAGACATAGGCATCCTTTCTGCTGATTTGTGATGAATATCATGCTAAATTATGAGTCAATAAAATGGTCTATTACAGAGAAAAGTTCTTGTTCTAAAATTTCAAGTACTAGATGAATCATGAAGTAAAATGTAGAAAGGTCTCAGTTCATTCATTCAAGTAATACTGAGAGTCAAAATCGCCTATTTTAATATTTAGTGCCACGTATACTCTATGTAGGGCTTCCCAGGTTGTGCTAGTGGTAAAGAACACACCTGCCAATGCTGGAGACATAAGAGATGCGGGTTCAATCCCTGTGTCAGGAAGATCCCCTGGAGGAGGGCAGGACAACCCATTCCATTATTGTTGCCTGGAGAATCCATGGACAGAGGAGCCTGGCGGACTATGGTCCACAGGGTTGCAAAGAGTTGGACATGACTGAGGTGACTTAGCATGCATGCACACATGCATACTCTATGTAAGGAGAGGGGATCTAGCTGAGGCACATCAGCTTTTAAAAGGAAATGTCATTTCCTTTGCATCTTGAAGAATGAGTATGCCTCAGGCAGAAAGAGAAGTATGGGCATGTCTGTCAGAAGAGTGGGATGGGAAGGAAGAATTCTAGGTAAAATGAGTAGCATATATAATTCTCCAGGAACATTAGAGTTTATGACCCATTGGATCTGCTTGGATCTCAATTAACATGCATGATCTAGAGTATGTTAGATCTAGTCATTTTAGGGAAGATCATCACGGAAGAAAAGAGATGAGGATATTAAGGAGCTCTTAAGCTATGCCAAGGAATTTAGTTTATTCCAACATCAGAGGGACACCAAACAAGCAGCCTGCCATGATCAAAGCTAAATCTTAGAAAGATAATCCTAACTGCAAGACAGAAGATGGGCTGGAGTGGAAGTGGGGGTGAACTAAAAACAGGGAGTTAGAAAGTCACTATCACAGTCCATGTGAGAAATGGTGAAACCCTCAAAACGGGCAGCAGCAGTGTGCCTGCAGATAAAGTAGAAAACTCTAGAGGTGAAATCAAGAGAACCTGAAGACTGGATGTGAAAATGAGAGTGTGGAGTCCTTTAAAGCAGGTCAAATGAGGCCACTCCAGGAAAGTGAGGGTCACTCAGAATGAAGCAAAACACTCCTACCTTAGCAGTGCTGTTGATATTATCAGGGTCCCCCTCCTCGCACTCCAAAAGAGTCACATGGGTGAGGTTCTCCACTGGATTCGTGAGAGTCAGGAGGACCTGGCTCTCCTGGGGAAAAGGAAAGGTATCTTTCAGACATTCTTCACTGCTGCCACCTAGGTCCACCTTCTTTCATGATTATATCACAAAATCATCACCCCATGTGCCCCTGCCTCCCACCATCACTCCTGAGCACCCCACCTGTACCTCTACATCACTGCATTCTTAAATGCTCATCAACTCCTATATTACTTATACACTAGTCTATATACTCTCTAGAATTGCTGTTTCACTGAGGAAATAGATCAGATTCCATAAAAAGGGCCAGTTACTAGATCCAGAAATTCTGAGAAATATACATTATCTAAGTGATTGTTTAAAGTTTATAACTCTTATCCTACCCAGGATGTCACTAGGACTTAAAAGAAGGAAGTCCTCATGAATAAAATATAGGAGCCACAGGCCAGCCAGATGTATTAATACAGCAAAAAAAAAGGGGGGGTATATCAAGACTTATAGAAGACTTTTAAGATTTCTTCAACTTTTCTGGTATGCTGTTTAGATTAGCAAAAAAAAAAAAAGAAATCTTTGAAATGAACAGGGACTATAAAAGTGTCTTTATTGCTGTAGAACATTCTGTAATTTGTTGGGAGGCATGTGTGGGAGTTAAGGACTCAAAGAACAGAGAGGCTGCGGTAAGGAAGAAATCTATGACAACACACACACAGAGATGTTAGAGAATCATACACACACATGGTGTGTATACACACACACACACACACACACACACAGGAAGAGAGCTGAAGCTACCTGTGGGGTCTAATATCTCCCTTTTTACCAGCCATAATTATACCACCATATAATGTGCACCCTGCTCCTTCTGCATATATATCAAAAATGCTAAGATCAAGAATCCCAGCTTAAGGACACTTAAAATCTCAGTCCCTTTATTATTTCAAACTTCCTTCTTTTCTGTCTCTTGCTCATTGAATCCTGACATTGAATCATGTCAAACATGCACAGCCACCACATACACTAAGCACTTGTCTTCGATCAATTAACTCTTTCTCTTCCCGTTAATACACATGGTACTAACCTTCATGTAGCGAAGGTTGGGAATTGACATGATTCTCACTTCTGGGATATAATTGCTGTAAGTGAATAAAAAATGTATTAATGTTCATTGCAGTCTCTTACAAGATATGATTTCTTCTTGTTATTCAGAATATGTCAGAGAAAATTTTAAAGATTCTTCCTATCACTACAATAAGAATTTAAGACATGAAATCAAACCGGTAATGAGTTCTTTCTGAAATCTCACATGTACCTCTATATATCCATGCACCAAGGTGGATATCTCCCTTATGTATTTATTAGATATGTCTTTTGAGATTTTTATTAATTCATTTCTGTAAATCTATACGGCAACTAGTGATAAGATGCAACACTGATTTAATAATACATTGCAGGGGTACAAAAACAATACCACATACTTACCAAACACTTTTACATAGCATTTACTATGTGCCAGGCAATATTTGAAGTTTGTTACAAATATTAATTCATGTAATCCTCATTGCAACTGCATTAAACAGGTATTACCATTATCCCCATTATAAAGATGAAGACACTAGGCTTAGGAGAAGCAGCCTGCTGGAAGTGGCCAGGATTCAAACCTAGGCAGACTGGCTACAGGGTCTTGCTCTTAACCACTCTGTATGCTACCTCTCTGAATAAGACAATAGAATATTGTACTTATGTGTACTTATTCTGGATTCAAAACCACTGGGGTTCAAATTCCAGCTTAGTATTTATACACTAAGATATTCCTTTGTAAAGAGCAGAGCAAGATATTTAGCTCTTTGTGTCTTGGTTTCTTCAATCATAAAATGAGCACATTGCAAGTTCCTTTTTATTGTGAAGAATAAATTAAATAGTATGTACAAAAAGTGCTTGGAACAAAGCACGCATAAATGTTATCATGCAAATATTAACTGAAGATAAAATCTATTGCAAAAACACTTCAAGAGGGTGCATGTAGGAGGGCATCTTAGCATTACGGTATTTTAACTTCAGACTAGCTATTTTTCATGATCATCATCACAATTCTCTGAGTAATTTGATATAAAATTCAAGGGCCCCATTATCAAAGATTTGGATTTAGCTGCTCTGATTTGTGGCCAGAACGTATGTATTAAGATTCCTTGGTAACTCTGCCATGACGCCAGAAAAAAAAATACACTTTTTTCCCCAAAGAACTGCTAAGAAACTGATGTGAAGCACATCTGGCCATTCAGGATTTCTGCAAGGAGTGTAATTCTTAATTAATTCTTAATTAGGAAAGGAGTTCATACCATATGTCACTTCTGTAGTCCTAATCAGTCATGCATTAAATAACAGTAGTTAGGGAAACAGATCATACAGTATGGGGTTTTACAGTTACAAGGCATTTGCAAACATAATAGCTCATTTGATCCTTCTTAACAAACACATGAGGATGGCAGGACTGGAGTTATGCCCATTTCAGAGATGAGGAAAATCAGTTTAGACAAATTCAGTGAAAGAACCCATATCTGGCCCTCCTAGTTCCTCCCTCCTAAGTTACCAGACCAGTACTTATCTGCCATTCGACTGCCAATGATTTCTTTTTAATTGTTGTATAATACTCTACATGCATGTATCTCAATTTAATCAACTATTTCTTTATTAATGGTTAATCAGTTTGACATTAAAACTGTTTCTAGCTTTTTACCATTAAAATGTTACAACATACATCTTTTAAAAATGTATCTTTATATATTACTGGTCTTTATATATTGCTTTTGTTTCTATAGAATAGCTTCATGAGATAGTACTACCAGGTTAAAATGTGTATGTCATTTTGTCTTGATATTCCAAGTCACTCTCCAGAAAGACTAGCAATTCACTCTACCAACAATATGTACAAGTATGTTTACCCACATTCCCATGAGCACTCAGAACTAATATTTAAAAGTTTCCTATCAAGTCTCAGCATCTTTCCATATATTTACCAGCCATTTGGAATTTCTATTCTGTGAGTGACATATTCAAATCCTTTGCCCCACCTCATCTCCCCATCCCACCCATTCCAGGGATATTCAAGTTTTATTTATCATGGAGTAGCAAATATTCTTTCTTACTCGACTGTCTCAGGACTTTGTTGTCAATTTTGTTTTTTATAACTCATATTTTTCTGCTAAGGTCAAAGCTGGCTATTTTCCTTATTAGCTTCTGGGCTTCCTGCCTTACTCAGGAAGGGCTCTCTCACCCTAAAGTCAAGACAATAATTTCCTAATTATTCTTTTTGATAGATGATTTTCATACACAAAATTCCCTTCTACTGACAAGTCCCAGTGAGTTAACATGAATTTAATTATTTTCATCCCATGCAACAAAGCACTATCAGAACATAGTTCAATAATAGTGTTATAGGATAGTCTTCCATCTGCTATATTTACAGTTTTTTACTTTATTTTTTAAAGAGATCATCCCAAACTTAGGTACTTTATCATTTGGAATGAATGACTCTCCAACCAACAACATACCACATTGCCAGAGACCATACTATTACATGTCCCTGATATAAACACCTTGGATTCTGTGTCTGTAGACTTGCCTTAAACTTCCTGTTATGTATTTCAAAACCAAAACAAGAACAGAATAACAAGATTATTCTGATGTAGCTTCTCTCTTCTTTTTTAAAGCCAAGAGTAAGCACATTTCATAGTGGGGGAAAAACAAAACAGTAACCTGAAACACCAAGCCCAAATACTCACACAGCAACCATCTGGATTTTGAATTTGATAGATGTTGGATTAAATTCTGGCTTGCTCAAATTATGTTCACATTTCTAAAATGAAAAAAATATATAATATGTATCGGAGGAAAACAAGAATACAATCTGCTGATCCACACAGCTGTTAAACTCAGAAGCACAGCATTCAGTACAGTTTGATTTTATTTTGCTGCAAGATCACATGTATTTTAAAACAGTGTATATTACTGATAACCAAAATATAGGAAAGATGATGTTTTGGACTTCTGGAAATATGCAACCACACTATCAAATATTATAACCCTTAGTGCTTCAAATTGAAATAACAACTAACAAATAATTAAAAAAAATTTTTTTTATTTTTAAATTTATTTTTGGCTATGCTGGGTCTTCACTGCCATGCACAGGCTTTCTTTAGTTGTGGTTAGAGGGCTTCTCATTGTGGTGAGTTCTCTTGTTGCAGAGCACAGGCTCTACGAGAAGGCAATGGCACCCCACTCCGGTACTCTTACCTGGAAAATCCCATGGACAGAGGACCCTGGTGGGCTGCAGTCCACGAGGTCGCTAAGAGTCAGACACGACTGAGCGACTTCACTTTCACTTTTCACTTTCATGCATTGGAGAAGGAAATGGCAACCCACTCCAGTGTTCTTGCCTGGAGAATCCCAGGGACAGGGGAGCCTGGTGGGCTGCTGTCTATGGGGTCGCACAGAGTCAGACACGACTGAAGCGACAGCAGCAGCATAGGCTCTAGGTTCTCAGGCCTCAGTAGTGGCAGCTCAAGGGCTTAGTTGCTCCACAGCATGCAGGATCTTCCTGGATCAGAGACCCAGGAACCCGTGTCCCCTGCCTTGGCAGGTGGACTTGAAACCACTGAACCACCAGTGACGTCCCTAATACATATTTCTAATTAAGTGTGAACAATGTGAATTTTGCTGAGTTTTCCTCTTTCCTGTTTTCTTTTTGGCTGTGGCTTGCAGTGGCATGCAGGATCTTCCTCAATCAGGGATCGAACCCATACCCCCTGCAGTGAAAGCATGGTGTCCTAACCACTGGACTGTCAGGGAAGTCCCTTCTTTGTTTTATGTTATTATTAGTCCTTTTTAATTTCGTCTCTACTACTCTACAAGATATGCATTCTTGGTTTAAGTGAACTTAAACACCACACTGATTGTAGGAGGTAGGTGTAGGTACTGTAAATACTGTCTGTATTTCACAGATGATGAAAATGGGGCACGGGAAAGGTAAATAATCTGTGCAAACATCACAGAGCCAGTAAGACTTGGAGCTGGGATTTAAATCCAAGTGCTGTGATTCCAGATCTCATGCTTTAGAATAAACAATAACTTGCTTACTATCTTGAATAGGCTCCACCTATATCCAGTTAAAAATTTTTTTAACCCTAGAAAAAAAACAACACTATAAAGATACCAGTTACTGATCCTACTGCTCCTCTCCTCAAAGCCAACCAGTTTCTCATGTACAGCTGATGAGCATAAAAAGTATACACACACATCATCTTTCTTTTTCACAGTAACACAAAAGAGAACATTTTATATTCTTCTGCCTTTTTCACCAAATCTATCTTGGAAATTATATACCAACATACACAGAGGTATCTCTGTGTCCTATTTAACAATTCTGTAACTTATTTAACCAGACCCAAATTGATAAATGCTTCTACTATTTTGCTACTACAAATAACACAGTAATGAGTAATCTTGTATGCAAATCACTTCCCACTTGCATAAATATATCTGTAGGATAATTTCCTAAAAGTGCATTTGTTATTTTGATGGATATTGCCAAATTGCTAACTTCTGCCAATCTGATGATTATGAAATGGTTTCTCACTGCAGTTTTAATATACACTTCCTGATTACTGTACATGTTTGAGTATCTCTCCTCTTTACTGGGAACTGGGATTCCCTCGCCATAACTGGCACATTAGTATCTACTTGACAATTTTATAATGGGGTATTATCTTTTCCTTACTGATTTGTTATACTTCTTCACATATTCTGGATACTAATTCTCTGTCAATTACATACTTTACAAATTACTCTTCTCAGTCTATGATCCATCTTTTCATTTCTTTATGGGTTTTCCTTGTAATGGGGGTACAAATTTTAACGTGTCAAATATGTAATTTTATCCTTTATGGTTTATCTTACTATGGACTACTTACTCCCTTAACCAGAAGCCATAAAGAATATTCTTCCATATTTCCTTCTAGAAGTATTGCTCTTCATATTTACTCTTTAAAGTTTTCAAGATTCCTAAAATTGACTTCTGTGTATCGTGTTAAGTTAGAGCCCCCCCGCTTTTTTTTTCATAGAATCACTTGAGATGATTTCACAGGCTATTCTTTCCCCAGGGACTCGAAAGGCCATTATTTGGTAAAATCAAGTTTCCCGACATGCATAAGTCTGTTTCTGCTTTCTCTATTCTGTTTCAACAGTCTATAAATCTAACATAAGCAAATACTTTTTATGTGTGTGTGTGTGTATATATATATATTCCCTCTTCTTACATAAAAAGTTATGTGCCTGCTATACACCCTGTTTTTTTGCATTTATAAATACATCCCATGTTATGACATTGTTTCTTATAGATCTGCAGTACTCATTGGGTTTATGTATCCTAGTCTCTTCATATTTTGGTTTGTATTTGTACAGGTGTATGTCCAGGGAGGTTGATGGGTCAATACAATACTGATTTTTTACCTGCTGGATCTGTCCATTTCTGAGAGACAGGTGTTAAAAGTCTCCAACTATGATGGTGGATTCATCTATTTCTCCTTATAGCTGTATCAGATTTTGCCTCACATGGTTTGACACACGATTGTTGGGCAAATGTACATTAGGAATGGTTGTATCTTCTTGGAGAACCGACCTCTTTATCATTATGCAATATCCTTCTTTAGCCCTGGTAACTGTCCTTACTTTGGAGTCTGCTCTGTCTGAAATGAATATGGCTACTCTTGCTTTCTTTTGATTAGTATTAGCATGGTATATTTTCTTCTTTCCTCTGGTTCCTTCCTTCCTCTATCTCTCCCTTCTTTCTTTCTATGCTTTGTTTGAATCAGGAATTAAAGTCTATACACTCTATTTGTTTGGTTGACAGGCCTAAGTCTCTTCTAATCTAATGCTGTATTATTTGATAATAGGAGCTATTAGTCATATGTCATTATTTAAATGAATTTCACCTTAGAAAGACTCAGGACCCACAGTTGCACTACCATATTTCAAGTGCTCAGTAGGCTACATGTGACTTGTGTCTAACATGCTGGACTGTACAGATAAGGAACATCTCTATCACCACAGAAAGTTCTGTTGGATGGTATTGATCTAAAATGTTTCCTTTCCCTTTTTTGATATTTTTTTCTTTTACAGTATTTCTTTTATTAATTGAAGAGACTCTGATGTTTCATAGATTTCCAGAGCCTGGATTTGCTTATTTTTCTTCTTTCTTGCTTTTATTTTTTTTTGGATACCCCTGAAGCATAGGCATGGAAGGCACTCCCCCACCCTCCTCTCTCCTCCCCACAACACAGCTAGAGGGGGAGGGGAGGTCCTTGCTTTTCTTTTAAATTGATTTTTAAAGATCAGTCCTTTTTGTTTCCTCCCTACTCTCCTAAAAGCTTTATATTCTTTCAGTATTCTTTTAGGGGTTAGCAGTATGAACTTAACCTACAGATACCCCAGCTTCCACATTTGTAAAATAAGGCTAACAAAGAAGAGTACTTACCTCACTGACTTAGGGGCTTTAAGCTTATCTTGAAAGCTTTAGAATAGTGCCTGCACACTGGAACATTCTCTATAAACATTTTCTAGTTACTACTTTCCAGAGGTTTTGATACTGACCAGATGCCAACTGCATTTATTTTTGCTTTTCTCTTACACAATGACAACCCTACAGAGAGGAATACTTACTCGGCAGCGCAGGGACCGTTTGATCAGAAGATGCTTATGACGAGGATAGAGCTGTGAGGCACAGACTGGCTGGAAGTCAGGCTGTAAGAGGCGCTGCTGAAGGGTGGTCACTAGCATGAAAGGCAGAAACCATGCTTAGTTTAAGTGACTTGCTCAAAATCAGATGTATACGTGATGACTACACAAAATAACACTGCCTTTATGACTAGCACTCTTTAAAACAAAAAAATGGAAATTTGACAGACATTTCTTCAAAGGATTACCTCTATCTTATTTTCTGCATGATTCATTTTAGTACTAACAACTACATTAAAAATCTCAAATCAAAAATAAAAATCACAAGGCACAGAAGTAAAAAAACAGAATTAGATGTAAAACAGAAACAAAGTAGAATCATGTATAAAATTACCCTCTGTTAAATTTACTGGTCTCGTGTAATAGTCTTCAGGTAGAGGTTCCACTTCATCTACAGCCTGAGCTGGCTCAATTTTTATCTCCTTCTGGTCCTCTCCTTCTTTAAGGCTAAAAGATAAAAGCAGTCATTTCTCAAGGGTCCACCTAAAAGTCCATGATATTGCTACCTAAGTACTCCTCTATTGTAGAATATTCTTTCTGGCTAGGTTTTTCCTAAGTATGAGCATCTTCTTCCCCACTGGCAACTGTTACTTTAAAACCACAGTGCTTCAATATTCATTTTGATACCAGCTTTTTCCCTCAAAGTCATTTAATGTCCAAACTTACGAAAGTCCAGCAAGGGTACTGATGGTTGTACCAGCTCTTGGTCGCTGAAGCCGGGTTCCAAGACCGTATTTGTCCTAAACAGAGTTAAGAAATTTCTCTTAGAAATTCTATTTTTATATATGCTATATATCAAAATAAAGAATTTGGGGAGGGACAGCATGAGAAGCTCAGGGAAATAAGCAAAAAAAAAAAAAGCTAATAAATGCTTCTTTTAAAGAGAGTAAGTGTAGCCCCACATCATCTTATTCTCAAAATGGCAACAAAAGCACCAAACATGGAGATTGAAACTACATTAATACGTGAAAATGAGCAAAATGTGATTTTTAATCTAAAAATATCTAAGCAATGGCTTAGACCAGAAAACTATGTGAAGTATCTAAGACACACGATGAATGTCTTCTCAGAACACCAGTGATCATCTGCTAACTTTAGGGTCAGCAAGAATGATAAAAGAACTTACCACTACATGAATAGTATGTTGCTGTAGGCCCCAAAATAGCAGCAGGTTGCAACAGAGACAAAAAAATGCAGGGTAAGATAGAAGCAAGCTCATACAGCAGGCAGGTCATGGGGGAGCTGGGAGAGTGACAAACACACTTAATGCAAAGTCCTCCCTGAATACACTGCTACATATGCTGATTAGACCACTGGGTTGTTCAAAAAACTCACTGAGACGTCATAAAAGTCTCTGGCAAATGTGGATGCTTTGCAAGTTGTAATGTTTTACTAAATTCTAAAAGACATTTTTATATGACTCTTGCCAATTCTTAGGGTTTTAATGGCTTAACTAATTCTCAGGCAGAAGCAGTACAAGAATTTATTTAACCATTAGAAGTCCCATTCCCTTCAGTGTAAAATGGGACTATACCACCTACTACACAGGACTGTTGTGAGGAATAAACACAGTAATACGTATAAAGAACTCAGCACTGAGTTTGATATATCACTGCCATTCAAGAAACTTTATTTATTAAATGCCAACCTGCTTGGCTCCAATCAAACACACAAAAAATAAATTATTCTGGGAGCAAATAAAACTTGGGGGGACAATAGCAAAAGTTTCAAATCCTAATTTCTCACTTCTAATTGGTAGTTTAAAAACTAGTAGAGAATAACTTTGATCAATAATTTCTATCAAAATTACACCTGCATATATTACTACTTATTTAACCACAAAAAAGCTCAGTATAAAAGTCAGTATTTTTCACACTGGAGAAATATTGGGAGGTGCCAAAAAATTATGATAACTAAAGCCCAGAAATCACTATTACCAGGATGCCAAAGGTGGGTGGACTACATGTGTAACATGAATAAAATCTACCATTTGTTCATATTCTTCTGACTTTCTGTAATATGCAAAAGCTGTAAACATGGGTGCCTACAAAACTAATAGTAGCCTCTTTAGGAAATAAGAAGATGATAGAGGGGAGTGATGGAGAAAGAAACACAAATGTACTTAAAACTCAAAGAACTCAAACAGAACTAATGATATAGCAAAAGCATATCCATTGGACTTAAACACCTATCACCTGAGGGACCTTTTTTTGCTAGCCGTCATTCAGGAATCTAGAGACAATGGCCACTTTCTGAAATGTTCACCACTCTTATACCATACTGGTCTTGATCAGTGAATTAGAAATTCCTCTTTGGACCAAGTTCTCACCGAAAAAGCCAAAGGCATATAGTTTCTACGCCGTGCCAGTTTCTTGCGATCTCGCTCAACCTTCTCCTTCTGAGCAAGTTGCTGGTAATACTCAATCAGTTTGTTCATCTGTAAGAAATCAAAATATTTGAAACAGCTAACAAGAAGCTTAGGAAATTCATCAACTAAACTGACTAGACATATAATGAATAGAAAAGACACATTAAAGTGGGCAAGTTTCTCTTCCCAGAAGAGAATTTGTCTTCCTTACATGATCTATTTTCAGAATTGAAATGGAACTTTCAAGTTCAACAACAGAAGAAATGAGCAATGAAAAGGCTTGAAAATTCCACGTTCTCTTTTCACTGCTCTTTTATTTCACTGCTTACTTCCCCTCACAACCACTCCTATTTTTCTGGCATGGCCACAGGACCATTATTTCCAACAATGTGACATTTCATACTCGATTTTCTCCTCAACTCCAACACATATTTTCATTTCAAAAATATACTTTAATCATAAAAGCCATACAAAGTTCTAGCAATATAGAAATATAAAGAATAGAAAGTAAAATTTCTCTTTATCTCTCGTGCCCACGTTCACTCTTCTCCTCACCACAGGTATCCACTACTACAGGTGAGAAATCTTTCTTACACACAGGCACAGGTATGATATTATATTCTGCATACATTAAAAAAATGCATGCATAGACATACAATTTTTATATGTGCAAAATAAATATAGGTCTTTATATTTTCCATATAAGGGGGAAAAACTTGCTCTTTTAAAACTTTTTCACTTTACGTGTGAATTTTCCACTCAGTACATATATTAATAGATTTACCTCATTCTTTTTAAAAGTTGCATCTTATTAAATGGCACAGGTGTCCTAAAGGTATTTAACCATTTCCTCTGAGAGCACGTAAATGGTCCCCTGATACCCACTCTTGTTCTCTCAACTCAATAGTAATTATTTTTTAGAAACACTTATCTGATCCTGTCAGCTCTTCTGCTTTAAAGGCTTCTCAAATGCCTTAACTTGGTCCACATGGTTCTGCAGTTTGGCCCCAAATCCTTTTCTCCCTTCACCTACCGCAACGCTCCACTCTGGCGCACTTGCCCACTGGTCTACAACTTGCCCCTTCCACTTACAAGCTCTTTGCCTTGAGTGTTCCTCCACCCTGAATCCTTTCCCTTCTCTTGCCTGTTGTCCTCAGATCCTAGTGCAATCCTCAGATGTAGACTAATCTAGTTCAAATTCCCTATAATAAATGCTTACACACAGGTTCTCTCTCCTTCACATTACTTTGAGTTTTTCCTTTATCTGGGGATTAATTGATTTTGTTTTCCCATCAGTCTTAAACTCTGTGAGAGGAAAGGTCATATATTCCTATTGCTCAACATGCTCCCTGGCACACAGATGGAGCATATGCTTGATAACTCCTTGGTAACTGAATATACAGATTTTTGTGCATGAGTACAGGTATTTCTGTAGGTCAGGGTCCAGGAAGTAGATACTGCTAAGAGACCAAGAAAGCTGTACTAGTTCATACTGACAATAGTATATGTGAAAAGGTCCAACTGGATACACTCCCATCCAGAATATTTTCAGTATTTCTAATTTTAGCTGAGGTCATAAGTGAATAATTGTAAGTTATTATTTAATTTCCAGTTCGACTATACAACTTCATTTCAACATCTTTCTAATATTCTGCTTCCAAGGCAACAAAATCAGTCCTAATGTACACTGCAGAGATCAATTCACTGTGAACTATTAAAGGATGTCTAAATCATGACTGCTACTGATTCCAAAAGCATCTTCTAAATTAGTGGTGTTTCCAAGACTTAAGATATGCTGATATGTTTACAGGTTGAGGATACGATATTTCTGAGAACAAATGGACCCGGTAACTTAGTTTGTGGGTATACGGAAAGCAGAAACGTATTATTTCCTTTTTCCAATTCACAAGAGTACAGAAATAAAATTACTCTTAGGTTTCTCTATTAACGTAAGTCAGGCTGGAAAAAACTGCCATTATGATTTAATGTCTTACACAAGAAGCACTTTCTAAGTGTAAAAGACACCAAACCACACATCATAGATTTATAAGCCTAAGCCATATTCACTAATAAAATGGTCTTTTTCCTCATCTTTCCTCATGTCATCCTCCCTCTGATGACCCTTTACTTACCCGTTGCGTGTGAGGATTTTCAGGTTCCTGCCAACCACCACTAGCTGAAAAATAAAGGAATATTAAACAAGGTTTAATATAATCTGATTTTATTTTCACAAAAACAGGTCATCTGCAGGCCACAGACTTAAACTTAAAAACATAAAATCACAGAATTTTCAAGAAAGATTCCTAGAAATTACATAGGCCAGAGTGCTCAAAATCAAATTCTTTCTTTAAATATAATGATGGTGATAATAACCACCACTAGGACCACCTCTACAACTAATACATGTATAATTTCTCTGCCAGGTATGTGAAATGTATCAAACTTCATTTTATTCTCATAATAACCCTCTGAGGTAGAGACTTTCATTATTAGTCTTATTTTACAAATGAGGAAATTGAAGCTCAGAGAGTTAAATAACTTGCCCAAAGTCACAGAGACAGTAAGCAATAAAGCCAGAATTCAAACCCAGGCAGTCTGACCCCAGAGAATTTGCCCTTACATACAATATTGTGCAATTTCTATGTTCTATGACCTTGGTTTAGAGAAGAGTTTCTTAACATAAGAAACAAAAGCACAAACAAATCATAAAGGAAAGAATTATTCCAGAAAGCTGAAAGTAAAACCGTAAGTAATACTTTCAACAAATGGTACTGTAACAATTTACACAAATTTATAAAAAATTAAGCTCAACCCTTACACCTCACAACATTTACAAAATTTACCCTGAAATGGTAATAAAGTTACACTTAAAAGCTGAAACATAATATTCCTAGAAGAAAACAAAAGTGAAAATCTTAACAACCTTAGGTTAAGCTAATTTCTTCACTAGGACACAAAAGGGACAAATTATTAAAAAAAAAAAATTGATAAACTGAACCTCGTCAGAATTAAAAACTTGTGTTTTTCAAAAGATACTGTTGAGAAAATAAAAAGGCAAGCCACAGACTGGGAGATAATATCTGCAAAACATATATTCAACAAAGGGCTTGTATCCACAATATAGAACTCTCATAACTCAACAAAAAGATGAAAAATCAGTTTAAAAATAGGCAAATAGGCAAAAGATTTGTACAAACACTTCACCAAAGAAAATACACAGATGGCAAATAAGCATATTAAGAAACTGCAACTTAAAACCACAATGAAGTATCACTACACTTACTAGAATGGCCAAAATGAAAAAGACCAACAATACTAATGGTTACTGAGGAACTGGAACTCTCCTCCATTGCTGATGAGGACCTGAAACTGTACAACCACTTAGAGAAACAGTTTGACAGTTTTCAGTCAAGGTAAACAAACACTTAACTCAGCAATTCAATTCCTAGGTAAATACTCACGAAAAATGAAAATACATATTTACATTAAAATTTGTAGGCAAATGTTCATATCCAGTTTTATTCATATGAGCCTCAAACTGGAAAAAATTTCAATGTCTATCAACTGCAGAATGAAAACAAAATATGGTATACCCATACAACAGGGTGAGCGAGCAAAGCTGCTCAATCGTGTCCGACTCTTTGTGACCCCATGGACACCAGGCTCCTCCATCCATGGGATTTTCTAGGCACGAGTACTGGAGTGGGTTGCCATTTCCTTCTCCAGGGAATCTTCCCGACACAGGGATCGAACCCAGGTGTCCCGCATTGTAGACAAACGCTTTACCATCTGAGCCACCAGGGAAGTCGAATACAACCCAAAAACAAAAAAAGCAAAACCATGAAAGAATCTCAGAAGCATTACACTAAGAGAAAGAAGCCAGACACAAAAGATTAAAACACTCCAACAATGTAAACTTCTAGAAAAGGCACAATTACAGTAAAAGAAAGTAGTTGTAGTCAAGGGCCAGGAGGTGCGGGAAGGAACTGACTCCACAGGGGCATGAGAAAACTTTTTTGGGGTGACAGAAATATTCTGTATCATCACTGTGGAGGTGGCTAAGTGGCTATACACATTCGTCCAAAATCAAAGAATTCTACACTTAAAATTGCTGAGTTTCATTATAGGTAAATTATATCTCAATAAAGCTAAGCCAAAAAAGGGGAAAATACTATGAGGTGCCATTTCACAACCATGAGTTTAGAAAATCTTGAAAGAAGTCCAACAGTACCAAGAGCTGCCAAGGATGTGGAGCAATGAATAGTTTACTCATATATTTGTGGGAGCAAAAACTGGTAATCATATTTTGGAGAGCTAATGATGTACACATCTTACAACCAGCAATTTTACTTTAAGTTATGCAGAGAAACCCTTGCTCCTGTGACATGAAACACATGTAAGAATGAGTCTAACAGCACTGTTGTCAGAAGCAAAAAATTGAAAACAACCTAAATGTCCATTTGGAAGAGACTAAAGAAGCAAACTGTGGTTAAGTCAGGCATGAATCACTTACTATCACTACTACATACCACAAACAAACTTGATAGAAATAAGCTGTAGCAGGATACATAAAACAAGGTTCTATTTGTTTCAAGTTGAGAAACACATTTGCTAATGGCTACATACTATGTGGAGAACTGCAAAAATATGCAAAGAACTGATGAAAACCTGAATTCAAGACTGATGACCATCTCTCTCTAGGAAACAGAAGGCAGATGGAGTGGGAGGAAGACTATACTGGGCTTACACTGTTTTGGTTCTGTTTAATTTCTTAAGCTGAGTGGTAAGTTCATGAATGTGTATTATTTTTATAAAAATAACTTTTTTTCCCAAATAAAAACGACTCCTGTTGATGGTGACACTGTAACTCTTGGCAGGAAATGGCAGCAGCAACAACCTTTAGTACAATATTTATATTTTAAAAGTTGCTTTACTTAAGGCAAACATGAAAAATAATTATGTGAAAAAAATGTTTCAGTAATATTTTAGAAAAATCTTAAGTTTTACTTAATTGCATTTTTAGAACTGCTGACTGATTCTAAACACAAATTTGAGAGCCATTATGATCTCATTATAAGTTTTTGCACATTACTGACACAAGGGCTTACTTATAAATAAACAAATAGTTGTAACTAAAGTGGTTTCGGGGCTTCTCAGATACCAATGACATCATGGAAGAAATGAAATTATCTGTATTTCTTAAGAGCTCCGACTATTCACTGTCAACATACCCTTAGAGGAGCTAGATTTCTAGAGATAAGCACAGGCTTTAAATTCTAAAAAATAAATTATCCAATCCTAATGGTTTATAGTCCAAAAAGTATCAAAAAAAAACTTACAGAGTAACAAACTGAGAAATCTATTTGGATTTCTTGGTTTTGTTTAATCTGATAAAAAGAAACAAAATACAAACATGGAAAAAATACACTTTAACTCACTGAACTAAGTGCCACTTTGAGGTTGTTTTTCACATCTAACTTAAATTCTTTTTTTTTCCTCCTAACTTAAATTCATAAACAAATTTAAACAATCTATTTGCTACACTGACATTAAGACACAAATATTTACTGATAATCTAAAAAGATGGTACAGAAATCATATTTCAGGAAATACCTACCCACCAACAAACACTTTAAGAAACTTGTTTGTTAACTTTCTGTTTTTGAAGAATGTTTTATCAAAATAATGTATGAAATTAGGAAAATAATCAAGAGCTCAGGCATTCTACACCAAGGGCAAACTCAAGAAAATCAAGAATTAAGTTTTAAGAACAGAGTTGAATCTGAAAGAACTTCACCCATTTTTACTACCAAATTATATGAGAAACTATAGGAAATTTTTACCTAATGTCCATCTTCATTTGAGTTACATCAAATAACATAATTTTTTAATTGGCTTCCTCATGTATTAGTAAGCTGATATTTTTTCAAATTTTAAACATTTTGTATTGGGGTATAGCCGATTAACAATGTTGTGGCAGTCTCAAGTGAACAGCGAAGGGACTCAGCCATATATACACATGTACCCATTCTCCTCCAAACCTCCCTCTCATCCAGGCTGGCACATAACACTATACATGTGCTATACAACAGGTCCTTGTTGGTAAGTTGACATTTTTAATGAAAACCTAAAAATGGTAATTTTTAACAAGTCTAAAAAATTTCAGAAAATTAATGAAATTTCAGAAAGAAAAAAGACAATGGAGAGTTAGCAGTGCTACTTTTTATATAAAAAATAAATAGCAACTCAAGATTCTGAACTGACTGTAATAAAGAGTGTTTCTCTGTTATTAACCATGGAGTACAGAAAATGAAAAAATAAAGGAAGCTTCCTAATAAAGATTAAGTGCAACCTCTGCTTTGAAACACAAAAATGATGGAAAGGTAATTAACATTTTAGACTGTCTTTAGGTCCAAACACACATAACTTTTCTGTATCGCTTATGATATATATGGAGAAGGAAATGGCAACCCACTCCAGTGTTCTTGCCTGGACAATCACAGGGATGGGGGAGCCTGGTGGGCTGCCGTCTATGGGGTCGCACAGAGTCAGACACAACTGAAGTGACTTAGCAGCAGCAGCAGCAGCAGCATGATATATATAGATGTCTCTTTAAGCATGTGTTTGAATGCTCCAGGATAGATACCTGGACATGGAATTTTTGGATAAAAGAAAAAAAGCAATTTAAAAGCTTAATAAATGTCAAATTGCTCTCTAAGGTGGTAGCAGACAAAAAAACTTTTCCTATATTTCTGTCACACTACCAGATTTTTACAATTTTGCCAAATCAATGGACTAAGTTTTAATATGCATTTTCCTGATTACTAGTAAAACTGAAATATATCCTTTTGCATATTTATTGACTTTAAAAAATCATCTCACCAAGTTGTGTGCAAAAAATAAATTCCAATGATTTGTGCACATTTTGGTTATTGAACATTTTTATATCCATTTATGAGGGCTGCTGTTCATATTCTTTGACAATTTTTTTTTTTCTTGAGTAGCTTCCCTACTGATTTATAAGGGTTCCTTATTTTTGGTTATTTATCTGTAGTCTGTTAAATAGGATATAAGATTTGCCACTTTAATTCTTTAAGTTTGTTCATGGTGTGTTTCACCATCAGCAGCAATTATTTTTTATGAAGAACATTAATCTTTTGATTCTAAAAAAACCTGTCAGATATATAAATGCTATTTTACCAACCTTAAGAATAGCCAGTTTTCAATGAAATATCATGGTCATAAATGTGAGAATTTGGGAACATAGAAGTTTAGTGGCAGAATACTCTGAATTTATCACCTACCTCCCAACAAGTAACATAATTCATGATTTGTGTACAACTGCAACTCTGCTGATTTCACAAAATCTCATGCTGAAGTCCACCTCACTCACCCACAGATTTATCTGCCATGCCCACATCTCTAGATGTCCAGCGACAAAATCCACAGGCCAAATAGTACGCTTTCTTCATGGTGGTCTTGGCTGGGTCATCTGGAAGCTGTGTGGAGATGCTTGTTGCCCGAGTGGAAAGGGTGTGCATACAGCCAGGACAGTCAAAGCAGTTGGCACATCTAGAATACAACAAACAACCACTGATTCATTCAACAAGTATTTACCAAGCACCTACTATGTTCAAGATACTGTTCTATATGTCAGGAATTCAAAAGAGAACTATAAGGGAAGGGTGACTCTCAAACAAAAAGAAATCAAAAGTACTCTGAAGAGACTCTTATAAACTGTTTTAAAATTTCAAAGGCATTACATGCTAATTATTTTTTAAAACATGCAGTCATCACCAAAGTTCCTGAATAACTACAGCATGACCCAAGCCTATTCACAGAGGGAATCACTGTTAACAGTCTGGAGTTAACTTTTAGACTCTTCTTATGCTTGCACAGACCACAAAGATTCTGTGGGACAAAGAAACGTCACAGCTTATGACTTTAGAGAGGACAGACCAATTGCACAATGGAAAACTGACAGGCAACAATTCAATAAGCTCTGACACTGGGTTTGGAAAATAATTGCTTGTTTGCTATGCCAGAGAGCTGAAACAGATACCAAATAATGCTACCAAGGTGAAATGGTTCAGAAGGGTGGCATTTTCAGGGCTTTCGGCTCTCTTCAGGCATTACTTTTCCTAGTGAACCAGTCAACATTCCCCTACAGGGGCCTCCATGCCTTTTTGTTTTTCTAGTAGAAAGTTTTCTACTTTCCTACCACCTGAGATTATCAAGATTGTACCTACCTTCAGTCAGAGACTTGCTCTAAAGTCCCATAACTCCAATTTTCTGTGATATTTTGCTACTGGACAATATTCTCAAGAAAGGATAATAACAGTACCTACCTTAAAGGGATAAGGACTTCCCTGGTGGCTCAGACGGTAAAGTGTCTGTCTACAATGAGGGAGACCAGGGTTCGATCCCTGGGTCGGGAAGATACGCTGGAGAAGGAAATGGCAACCCACTCCAGTACTATTGCCTGGAAAATCCCATGGACGGAGGAGCCTGATAGACTACAGTCCATGGGGTCGCAAAGAATCGGACGCGACTGAGCGATTTCACTTTCACTTAAAGGGATACTTTGAGGATTAAATGATAAAATAAATGTATGGATGGCATACAAAGTTGGTTTATATGGAGCTGTTTCTCCAAGACAGGAAGGACAAATAGTGGTTTATATCCATGGAGGTACAAAGGTGTGACTGGTTGCAAAGGACTTCCACACCATGCTAAAAATCAAAATGGCACCAGTAACAATGAGCATATCTACTACTCAGATCTTGGTTTTTAACACCAATCTCTAGTAAAAGGTACCAGGACTCCTTGGAGAAATGGCTCTGGAACAGAAAATACAGATGAGCCTGGAGTAAGTAGGAAAGTTCTCAAACAACTGAATAATGCTTCCCTCCCCCTCAATGCCATAAAATGATGGGGGTATGCCAAAGGGAGACAGAAATCTACTAAAAAGGGGTTATAAGAGCCAAAGCTGGAACAACCTGAGTTTAAAAAAAATAGTAGTATTGGAGTATAATCTAAAGTATACAAAAATATTCCAAGTCCACACTGCTTTAAGTAAATGATTAAATAAATAAAAAAGGGAAAAGAGAAAAATCTTCCATGCAAAAGAATTTCAAGTAATTCATGAAGACAGCTCTCATGGAAGGGAAGCATAACTTGCTACTAGTTAAGTGTGGGCTGTATTAGTACATTTCCTTCCAAGAGTATGATATGGAAAAGGAAAAAAAGAAAAGAGTAACTTAACATCAGAAAAATCTGACAAACAATAGCTCAAGCCAAGTAATCAAGGTTAACATCTGCAGTGAAAAGTCATATTGATGGTATATACCCCTGATATGATGTGGTGAGAGATGCACTTTACCTATGTGATCCTCTTCCCCAAAACACATTCTCTCAGATGATGACAAAAGCATCAGACAACTTCCAATCAAGGGATATTCTACAAAATATCTTACCAGTACTTCTCAAAACCAAGGAAAGTCTAACAAATTTTCACAGTAAGAGGAGCCTAAAGAGATATGACTATTAAATACAATGTGGGTATCCTGAATAGGATCCTAGAACAGAAAAATGAGATTAGAAGAAAAATTGAGGAAATCTAAATTTAATAATAATGCTACCAATAACATTCATTAATTGAGACAAATAATACCATACTAATAGATGACATTTACAATAGGGGAGAATGGGTAAAGATTAAAGGGAATTCTCTGTATCATCTTCACAGTTATCTTAAGTCCAAAACTGTTATAAAATACAATTTTTTTTTTTAATGGAAGTGTCATCTTTGGCAAAAAAATGACGCTAAAAAAAGAAAAATTTCATGTGTTTTCTTACCAGCTATTAAAATTTAGCTGTGGAAAATAGGAAAAATGGATCCCATCTTACCTATTCTTTTTTAGTTTGGCTTCAGCCGATGGCATATTTTCTAAACAACTGGGACAATAATGGGAGTCCACCTAGAATGAAACAAGAAATCAAAAAATCATCTTGGCTTGTGTACATACCTATAACAAATAGTGAAATTTAAAATACATTATTCTGCAGCAGACGGTGAGAGACCATCGTTCTGGCAAAGAACTTGCACTGTTTCCAACATAGGGTTTATTCTTATAAAAATCACCTGTTTTTTTCTTAACCTCTCAATTTGCTGAAATCCTTCTATTTTTCTTTTCTGAATTTTCCTATTCCCTTTCACCAGGGTTTTATGTATTAGACATGTTAAAATACGTTTATGTTAAAGAAGACTCTAACAAATAATCCAATTTATGAGCTGTGATCAAATATCCTTTTATCTACTCTAGCTTTATGGGACTGCAATAACTGGACCACACTTTAATGGTTAAGAGAGATTTTAAAAGTTCTCTCCTTACTGACGTGTTACTGACATGTAACTGACATGTTCACTAAAGAAAAGCATAAATTAACAGTTACAAAGTTAGCTATAGTCAACCAACTAGAGATTTTTAAATGGCAAATTAAGCCACTAAGTTAATAAGACAGTCTTATTGTATTTAGCTCGAAAACATAGTATAAAAATTAAATTCACTGTATTTTTTTAAGGACTGAATAATTATTTCCTTTAATGTAGGAAGACCCTATTTGATAATTCTAGAACTCTGGGCATCTGCAGATGGAAAGACAGATTCACCCGAACATAAATACTATGACAGAAACTGGTTTCTGTTTTTATCATCTGCTTATAAACAGAACCCCTTTGAAAGATAAAGCTGCTGCTCAAATAGTCACCAGGAACACAAGATACAGTACTGTTAACTTATATTTGCAGTTACTCATCATTCACTCCTTTTTGTTCCTTTCTGAATTATGTTCCTCTCTTCAAGTGCAGCTCCAATTCCAGGCTCCCCATTAGAATTTTCTGGACTGCTTCAGCCTTCATTGGCATCGTCCTCCCCCAAACCCTAATGGCTTCCGTTTCTCAGGTGCACACCAGTCCATAAAAGACACAGACTGAATGTAATAGCTGAAGGTGTCCTTACAGATTATGAAAACTAGCTCCCTACCAATCACCAAATGAGAATCTAGTCTAATTCTGGAGGTGAAGCTGGGACAGGGGGGCATCATAGAAGGGACCTGCCAAAGGGATAAGCATACAAAGTGCTAATAGAGAAAAACAAATGCTGTATATAAAACAGCATTGATTTTTCTTTTTCCCTTGTGTTAACTGCTTTCTCTGACTATTCTGAATAGTATGAAAAATATTCTCAATAAAATAGTAATTAATAATGTGTAAAATGGCTTATAGTATAGGACATAATCTCATAAGCAAAATTTTAACAGTCCAGGGATCCTGACTGAAGTCCATTGAATCAGGCTGCTTGGTTTCAAACCCTGGTCCTTCCTCCCTTCCTCAAATTTTTGGCTGTGTGACATACTGCAAACACTATGTGTTTCTTTAACTGTGAAGTACAAGAGTCATCAATCACTTCAGGACTTTGCAACCTCTGGGCTGTAGCCCACCAGGCTCCTCTGTCCATGGGATTCTCCAGGTAAGAATCCTTAAGTCAGTTGTCATGCCCTCCGCCAGGGGATCGTCCCATCCGGGTATCGAACTAGCGTCTCCTGCATTGCAGGTGGATTCTTTACGGACTGAGCCACCAGGAAACCCCGAACGGTAAAGTGTTTTTTTTTTTTTTTTAAAAAGGTATTTATTCTGTTGGTTTGTAGAATGATTAAAAGAGATTATGTAAAGCACATGGCATGCAGAAAGTACTGAATAAGCAGAAACTATGTATTATTAATACTAATCAGCTTTTCCTTCAGGAGCCTGCAAGTAACTCAAGAGCAGGATTTATGTCTTAACCCGTCTTTTAATCCCCAAAGCTTACTGAATGAACACGTGCCAAGTGCTGCAGAAGTTTTGGGGCTTTGTTATTCATTGATGATTTTTTTCCCGCAGGGTGGGGTCTTTTACATTCTGAGCAATCCCACCTCCAACGCCCACTTGTATCAGTGAAGGACAGAAATGCACCCCCAGGAGAAGCGCCATAAATATAATACTTTGAGCTTCTTAAACAACAGATCCGATTCTAAGCGCTTTTCACTCAGCTCACCCCATCCCAACCCTCTTCTCTGCTGCAGGCCTTGGGCTGGGCCGGGAAACAGAACAAGGCAGTCAGAAGGCCGGGTTTCTCCCCAAGGAGGGGCATAACTTCCAGGATGGGAGGCGCTTGGATGAGAACGACCGCGGACTTTCCCACTACCTCAATCAATCCTGGAAAGACTGTATCTCGCCCCTCAAGGGGCCTTAACTAAGCACCCCCACATCTTTTCCCCCCACAACCCACCCTATTACCAAGCCCCGTAGCAGATGGCCAGGGTCCCCAAAGTCTAGTTTGTCCAATCAGAAGACACTCTAGAACAGAAAGGCCGCTCAGCCCCACCCAAGGCCGCTCCTCCTTTCCAAGTGACAAATTATAAGCAAATTAAGTCATAGACAAAACTGAGTGACGGAAGGCAAAGCCAATCAGCATGCTAGGAAAATGACTACCCGCCTCCAACAGGCGGAACTTCCCCGCTGGTCGCGGTGACTAGGGGGAACGCCTCCCCCATCCCCCAACACTCTTCATGGGACGACTGCGTTACCTCGTGAGACACACATTCCAGCGACCGCAGATCGCTACAATAGCGGCAGAAGTAAAGCTGCGACAGCGGGGCCCGAACCTTCTTTTCTCCCTGGACTAGGTAGAGAACCCGCTCCGATTGCAGCAAGGACGCCATCTTGTGGGGGAGGAGTCAACGACGCTCCCGGCGCATCACGTGACCCGAGGGCCGGCGTTTCCCTAGCTTCCTTCCTTACGTCTTTTAACGTAGACTTTGACGTAAGCTTTCCGAGCAAGTGGGGCTTTGCGCCGGACGAAAGTCAAAATGCGCATGCTCAGCTGTGATACCAGCTTTCTCCCCCAATTTGGGGCCTGTCCTACCAACCTCGTCTCCCTCCAGCATTTTTGTGAGTGTCAACCGCCCGAACGGAGCTCAGACCGTTGCTTTGCTAGATGTGGAGTCGCAGATCAAATCCAGACAGACTCAGTACTGTTCTTTCCTTCGTTTCTAACAGGAATGCTCTTTTATTTACAACTGCCTCTCCTGCCCTCACCTTCCAAACAAATCTCCAGAAGTTAGATGGAGGGTTTCTAAGACAGAGTTTCTTGGGAACTAGAAAACTAAGAGTCCACACCAGCACTTCCTTCCGACAACCTTACTATTGACCTATAGGAAACTTTCACAGATGTTATCTCTTTTTGAAGTTTCTTAGATCGAGCTCTTGCACGCAGAAGCTATATCTCATTTCCTGGTTTTCCATATTTAGCATTAGAGCCAAGTCTATATTGTGGATGTTAATGAAGGAATGAAATCAATGAACAGTGTTGCTAGGTGTCATTCACATTTTTCTAGTGCATGCATTAAGGCTTAGACGTGTAAAATGACCACTTAGAGCTGGGCTGGCAGAGACTGGAGCCCACGTTACCAGCTTCAGTTCACTGCTTTTCTCTTTGTACTAGAATTGAAAGTGAAAGTCGCTCAGTAGTGTCCAGCTCTTTGCAACCCCATGGACTATACCCATGAAATTCTCCAGGCCAGAATACTGGAGTGGGTAGCCTTTCCCTTCTCCAGGGCATCTTTCCAATCCAGGGATTGAACGCAGATCTCCTGCATTGCAGGTGGATTCTTTAAGCTAAGCCACAAGGGAAGCCCAGTATTGTATTACTACCTGTCTGATACTAGAGTTGGTGACTGAGAAGAAATAGAACTGAATAGTAATAATAGTTAACATTTATTGAGCACTTACTGAATGCAGGACACTGAGTCAAAACTATGTAGTCTCATTTAATTTTCACCAGAACTCCAGAAGGCAGGTGCTATCATTATTTTTATCTCACAGGGCAAAAATGAGTAGGCTATCCATTGAGATCCCAGTTGCTCTTCTCTTCTCCCTGGAAAGCGTGGCCATAACTGGGGTAGACTTGAGATTCCTCTGCTCTGTGACTAGTAATCACCAGTAGTAGAATCCGTAATGCACAGGGTAGTGACCAGCCTGGGCCCTGGGCAGTAGCAAGGCCCAGGCACTGGCATGGGAGGCAGGCACTGGGAACAGAAGGGGAAAGTGAGTCACAGGAAGATACCTGGTTTCATTTCTGAGGCTCACAGGGCCAGCCTGCCTTAGTGGTGCTGGCAGGTTTTTACCAAAACAGACAACAGCCACAGGTTGGAGTTTGCTGATGCATGCTATAGCCTCCAGGGGTAGTAGACTGGGTAACTGAGAATTATCATATACTAGAAAGATCCTGGTTCAATCCTTGTAGTTTTCAAATGGAGGAAATGAAGCCCTGAGAGTCAAAGGAACATGCCCCAGGTTTTCTCACTCCTGGTAGAGTAGTAGTCTGTTTTCTGATTCCACAAATGCAGTTCCTCTCACACTGTGTCAGTTCATTCATATTTACAGTTGAGTAGGAAACCAGTTGCTATTCTAAAAAGAGAAGAAAGCAAATGCAAGGGAAAGTGGAACCTTAATGGATAGCCTACTCATTTTTGCCTTGGAAGTTTCCCATTTGGGACACATGAGTTTCACATCTCTAAAATGCTCTCTGCTTGTCTTCAACAGGAATTTCCCAAGCATACCTCAAGCCTAACCAAGGCTTGTCCCCTTCCCCTAACTCCCTCTGCTTGGTAAACTAACCGTTTCAGTTCAGTTCAGTCACTCAGTCATGTCCAACTCTTTGTGACCCCATGGACTGCAGCATTCCAGGCTTCCCTGTCCATCACCAACTCCCAGAGTTTGCTCTAACTCATGTCCATCGAGTTGGTGATGCCATCCAACCATCTCGTCCTCTGTCATCTTCTTCCCCTCCTGCCTTCACTTTGTCCCAGCATCAGGGTCGTTTCCAATGAGTCAGTTCTTTGCATCAGGTGGCCAAAGTATTGGAGTTTCAGCTTCAGCATTAGTCCTTCCAATGAATATTCAGGACTGATTTCCTTTAGGATTGACTGGTTTGATTTCTTTGCAGTCCAAGGGACTCTCAAGAGTCTTCTCCAGCACCACACAAAAGCATCAATTCTTCAGCATTAAGCTTTCTTTATAGTCCAACTCTCAAATCCATACACGACTGCTGGAAAAACTATAGCTCTGACTATTTGGACCTTTGTCTGTGAAGTAATGTTCCTGCTTTTTAATATGCTGTCTAGGTTTGTCATAGCTTTTTTTCCCAAGGAGCAAGTGTCTTTTAATTTCATGGCTACAGTCACCATCTGCAGTGATTTTGGAGCCCAAGAAAATAAAGTCTGTAACTGTTTCCATTGTTTCCCCATCTATTTGCCATGAAGTGATGGGACTGGATGGCATGGACTTCATTTTTTGAATGCTGAGATTTAAGCCAGCTTTTTCACTCTCCTCTTTCATCAAAAAGCTCTTTAGTTCCTCTTCACTTTCTGCTATAAGGGTGGTGTCATCTGCATATCTGAGGTTATTGATATTTCTCCCTGCAATCTTGATTCCAGCTTGTGCTTCATCCAGCCTGGCATTTCTCATGATGTACTCTGCATAGAAGTTAAATAAGCAGGATGACAATATACAGCCTTGATGTACCCCTTTCCCAATTTGGAACCAGTTGGTTGTTCCATGTCTGGTTCTAACTGTTGCTTCTTGACCTGCATACAGATTTCTCAGGAGGCAGGTAAGGTGTTCTTGTATTCCTGTCTCTTTAAGAATGTTCCACAGTTTGTTGTGATCCACACAGTCAAAGGCTTTAGCATAGGCAATGAAACAAAAGTAGGTGTTTTTCTGGAACTCTTGCTTTTTCTATGATCCAACAGATGTTGGCAATTTGATCTCTGGTTCCTCTGCCTTTTCTAAATCTAGCTTGAACATCTGGAATTTCTCAGTTCACATACTGTTGAAGCCTAGCTTAGAGAATGTTGAGCGTTATTTGCTAGCGTGTGAGATGAGTTCAATTGTGCAGTAGTTTGAACATTCTTTGGCATTGCCTCTCTTTGCGATTGGAATGAAAATTGACCTTTTCCAGTCCTGTGGCCACTGCTGAGTTTTCCAAATTTCCAAATGTTACTCTGTAGCAGCATGGAACACTTCCTCTATGCTCTGCTGAGGATGCAGGGAGCTGAGATGGGCATCCTTTTTTGGCTGGAGTTTGCAGAGGTGACTTCAGGTTAAACACTGCAGCTGTTACCCAGTTGCTGCTGGTGCTGAAGGCAGACCTCAGGCCCCTCAGGTGCTGGCTCATAAGAGATAGTTTATGACCATGCACTCTCTGTGCCACTGATCCCTTACTCCCGCTTGTTTGTCCACTCACCCCTGCAACTCGCAACTGACACAAGAAGTCATAGCTCTCAGTGAGATAAGGGCAAAGTCATGGAGCTATAGAGCCAAAAGTGACCTTAGATATTAATTAATCCTCTACCCTTATTTTCAAGATGGAGAGCTGAAGCCCAGAGAAGGGAAGAGATCCACCCCCAGATTCCCAAAGGACATTAGAGTCACGTGAAGCTAAGGCTTGAACGCAGATCCCTGTTCCAACTTTATAGACTTTCCACACTTAGCTGGACTTCCATCTCTCTATAGTTCACATTCCAACCCTAAAGCTTGCTTCTAGAAGACCACCAGCATATTGCTTGAATTGAATAAAAGAGAATTGAAAATTAGATTCCAGCCTAACTCAGTAATACAATCTTCAACTATCTGACACCCCTAAATTTAAAAAAAAAAAATTTTTTTTTTTGGTCTTTAAGTAACTTCTTTAAGAAGGTAAAGGAAGAAAGAGGAGAAGGAGGCTGGTCACAATTTTAAATAGGGTGGTCAGGGTTGGGCTCATGAGAAGGTAAGATAGGAGCAAAGATTTGAAGGAGGTGGGGAATGGACCAGGTGGCCATCAGGGAAAGAGGTTTCCAAGCAGAGTCTGAGCAGTTTCTAAGGCCTAACCGAGGAACAGCAGGGAGGCAGGGGGGCTGGGAAGGAGTGAGCAAGGGGGAGAGGTACAGGGGTGCAGTTCATGTAGGATCTTGAAGGCATTTGAATGACATTGGATTTTGCTTTGAAAGATGTAGGGAGCCATTACAGGATTTCAAACAGAGCAGTGATATGATCTAACCTACATTTAACAAGGGTCACTCTGGATGCTGTTTTGGGAATGGACTTCAGAGGAAGAAGGGTAGAAGCAGGGGTTCAGTCTGGAGATTACTGCAGTGACCCAAGTAACAGGCAACAGTGTCATGGACCGGGGATTCTGACTATATTTTGAAATAGACCTCACAGGATTTCCTGATGCCAAACTCTGGAAAGACGTGTATAGAGACTGGCATATGAAGGGTAGTTTGGAGTCTCATCAGAGATGTCCTTGTTGGGCTGGGGGAAAATCCATTTCATGGTTTGGCCAAATTCAGCTGCTGGGAGATTATTTCCTCAGAAATTATCAAGACTCTCTGTTTCTTGTGCCGGAGATCAAAACAAAAAAGCATCACAGAAAGGATTAGACAGTTTTATGTTTAAAGGAAGCGGATGAAACTAGTTTGTTTGGTCTCTAGTTAACTGTGTTCCAAGTCACAAAACATGATGATTGCCACACAGGAAAGCATATTTCACAAGAGGCCCAGAGAAGGAGCCAGCCCATTACCAAACTCATGAATCAGATCTTCAGAGCTCCAGCTCAGGCTGAGAATGGGAAACTGGTGTGGGAGCACCCAACCCATTTGCAGTGGTGCCAAGAACTCTT